GAATATTCCAAAGGGATAAAATATTAAGTATGAAGCTCCTGAGGGTCCGAATGAGCTTAAGTGGTTCATGCAATAAGGCCAGGATGACCAGAACAGACTGTGTGGAAGGGAGAGAGTAGGAGAAGGTATGGCAACACATTATCTAGGGCCCAAATCACATAGGACTTGTAAATATTTGTAGGGTATTTGAATTTAGTTCTCAGTGTGGAAGGAAGCCACTGGAGAGTTCTGAGCAGGGAGGTAAAGTTATCCGGTTAATGTTACAAGTTTGTTCTGGCTCCTTGACAGAAAACAGGCTAGCAAGGAGCAAGAAGAAGAACAGGGAGAGCAGTTACAAGGCTGTTGCAATGGTCCAGGCTTTATTTGCTTCTCTAAATGTTACAGGACTGAAAACCATCCTGAGTAAATCCTTTTTTTCTGATAACAGGCAAAAAATTTCATGTCCTTTCCTGGGTAGAGAAGGATAATCAATAAATTATGATGTTGCTTGGTTGCAGGAGAAGGCAATCGCAACCCACTCCAGTACTCTTGCCTGGAAAATCCCATGGACGGAGGAGCCTGGTAGGCTGCAGTCCATGGGGTCGCTAAGGGTCGGAGACGACTGAGCGACTTCACTTTCACTTTTCACTTCATGCATTGGAGAAGGAAATGGCAACCCACTCCAGTGTTCTTGCCTGGAGAATCCCAGGGATGGGCGAACCTGATAGGTACCGTCTCTGGGTTCTCACAGAGTCGGACACGACTGGAGTGACTTAGCAGCAAGAGCAGCAGCACTCCCTAGAGCCTGTACTCTGCAATGAGAGGCCACTGTAGTAAGAAGCCTGCGCACTGCAGCTAGAGAGTAGCCCCCACTAACTGCATCTAGAGAAAAGCCAGTGTAGCAACAGAGACCCAGCAAAGCCAAAACTAAATAAATACAGAATTATTAAAAAAAAAAAAAAATACTGTGAACCACAGTGAAGAGAAAAGAGTCAATAGAAGCAGACCCAGAGGTGGCCCAAATCCAGCTCTACATATGGGTTGGACTTATCAGAAAGAGACTTTGACATAACAGTGATAAAATGCTAAATTAACTAGTAGAAAAGGTGGGCTAAATATGTGAAGCGATGAAGGAATTCCAGTAGAGATGTGGAAAAATTTTTTTTAATTGAAAGGATAATAAGGAAAAAGATACAAGAAAACTACAAGAACAATATCCCTAAAATATATGACAAAAATCCTCAACAAAAAAACTAGCAAACCAAATCCAACAATACATTAAAAGGATTATATAGGGACTTCCCTGGTGGTGCAGTGGTTAAGAATCCTCCTCGTAATGTAGGGGAGTGTGTTTAATCCCTGGCCAGAGAACAGAGATCCCACATACTACAGGGCAAGTACACCTGCAAGCCCCCACTAAGACCCAGTGCAGCCAAATAAATAATTTTTTTAAAAGGATTATACAGCATGACCAAGTGGAATTTACCTCAAGAATGTAGAAGGTGATTCAACATAAGAAAATCAGTTGTTATATTAATAGAATGAAGGCATAAAAACCACATAATCATCTCAGTTGACATAGAAAAGGCATTTGATAAAATTTAACAGCTTTCATTAAAAAAAAAAACACCCAAGCAAACTAGGAAAAGTGGGGAAGTCCTTAACATGATCAAGGTCATTTATGAAAAGCCCACAGCTGACATCATCCTGGTAACAGACTGCCAGCTTTTCTCCTAAGATCAGGAACAAGACAAGTTTGCTTGCTTTTGTCACTGCTAGTCAACATTTGTGCCAGAAGTTCTCACCAGAGCTCTTAGGCAATAGAAAGAAATAAAAGACATCCAAATTGGAGAGGAAGAGGTAAAATTATCTCTATTAACAGATGACATGCTCTTCTATTTTAAAAATCCTGAATAATCCCCAAGAAAGCTGCTAGAGCTAATAAATTGGTTCAGGGAAGTTTCTGGGCAGGAGATCAACGCATACTTAACCAGTTGTGTTTCTGTGTATTTCTATGTGAAAGTTGCTCAGTCATGTCTGACTCTTTGTGACCTCATGGGCTATTCAGTCCATGGAATTCTTCAGACCAGAATACTGGGGTGGGTAGCTGGTTCCCTTCTCCAGGGGATCTTCCCAACTCAGAGATTGAACCCAGGCCTCCCACATTGCAGGCAGATTCTTTACTATCTGAGCCACCAGGGAAGCACATATAGGTGATAAACAACCCAAAGAGGACATTAAGAAAGCAGTTTCACTTACAGTAGCATCTAAAAGTATTAAATAGTTAGGAATTAATTTAACCAAGTAGATATATATAAGACTTGTATGCTGAAAATTATAAAATATTGCTGAAAGAAAAGTAAATGGAAATATATAAAGTAATTTTAAAAATACATAAACTAAAAATAAGCACTTCCTTGGGAATCGAGTGGTTAAGACTTTGTTTTCCAGTGCAGAGGGTGCAAGTTCAGTCCCTGGTTGAGAAGTTTTTTTGTGCCTCCAGGCCAAAAAAACCTAAACATAAGATTACAGTATTACAACAAATTCAATAAAGACTTTAAAGTAGAAATAAAATCCAAGTATACTTGGAACAAAAATATTTAGACATCCCATTTTCATGGGAGGGGGACTTAATTAAGATACCAGTGCTCCCCAAAGAAATCTACAGATTTAATGCAGTACTTAGCCAGATTCCAACAGTCCTTTTAGCAGAATGGAAAAGCATATTCTCAAATTCATATGGAATTGCAAGGGGCCTCAAGTAGCTGAAACAATCCAGAAAAAGAAGAATAAAGTTGCAGGATTTCCTCTCCCTGACTTGTGACATACTACAAAACTGCAGTATTTTAAGCAGTATGGTGCTGGCACAAAGACAGACCAATGAAGTAGAATAGAAAGCCCAGAAACAAGTTCTAACATATAAGATGAATTAATTTTTGATAGGGTTCCAAGACCATTCAGTGGGAGAAATGAGTCTTTTCAACAGATGGTACTGGGAAAATTAGATATCCACAAGCAAGACAATGTAGTTGAATCCTTGCCTTATATGATACACAAAAATTAACTCAAAGTGGATCAAAGACCTAATGCAAGACCTAAAACTATAAAATTTTGAAAGAAAACTTGAGGAAAATCTTCTCAACATTGGACTTGGTAGTGGTTTCTTACGTGTGATAGCTAAAGCACAAGCAACACAAGGAACAAATCAGACTCCATCAAAAGAAGGGTCTTCCCAGGTGCTGTAGTTGGTTAAAAATCCATCTGTCAATGCAGGAGACACAAGAGATGTGGGTTCGATCCCTGGATTGGGAAGATCCCCTGGAGTAGGAAATGGTAATCCTTTCTAGTATTCTTGCCTGGGAAAATCAGAAACAGAGGAGCCTGGTGGGCTACAGTCCAGATTTGCAGAGTTGGGCATGACTGAGCATGCACAAAGGCAAAAGGCAAAATTTAAAAAACTTGTGTGTGTCAAAGGACACAACCAAGAAAGTGAAAAAAATAACCTGCAGAATGGGAGATAGTATTTACTGATCACATATCTGCAAGAGATTAATATTCAGATTATATGAAGAACTCATACAGCTTTGAAGAATAACATCAAAACAAATATAAATGCACACCCATATGTACTCCCAAAGAATGTTGATTTTTTTTGTTTAAGCAGGCACTTAACTTGGTTGGAGTCAACCTGTAAAACCTGTCTCCCTGTGCTTGGTGGTAGCTCATTATCTCATTTCAGTTATTTTAGCCTTAGGCTGCTTGAGTCTGTCCTGTTATGGATGATTTACAGGTTAGCCAAAGAACTGGGTGGAGTATGTGTATATATATAACTTGGAGCACCCCCTCTCTGGCTCTCTTTTCAGGGATTTGCCTCTACTTTCCAGAGGTTATGACAGGCTCTGTCCTTGGTTCTTCAAGCCCTTCAGACTGTAGATTTCTTTGGAGGTTTCAGTCACACTTAAAAGCATGGACTCTGGCTTTCCTTCAGATTAAAGCCTTAAAAACAGGAAACACACCTTCCCTTGTTTTCTTCTTACATGTGTCAGTTTGTTTCTAGTATCTGTTTACCTTGATACTTTCCTTCCTTTCGAAGTCATTCTTTATATTTGTTCCAGTGTATAGTAGCTGTTGGGCTTCCCTGGTGGCTCAGAAGGTAAAGAATCTGCCCGCAATGCAGGAGACCTGGGTTCGATCCCTGGGCTGGGAAGATCCCCTGGAGAAGGGCATGGCAATCCTCTCCAGTATTCTTGCCTGGGGAATCCCCATGGACAGAGGTGCCTGGTGGGCTACAGTCCATGGGGTCGCAAAGAGTCGGATACGACTGAGCGACTAAGCACAGTACAGCACACATAGTTGCTGTCTGCATGATGGCAGGTCCAATGGGTGCTACTCAGCCATCAGACTGAACACAGGAGTCTCCCTAAGTGCTTTAGGCTCTGTTTAACTGCCTCTTTTCTTGTGGTCACGATTTTTACGTCCAGTACCTCCTGGCCATCACCCTTCTTCATCCTGTGTAGCTATTTTAACCCAGGCAATAGCGAAGAGTACTAAAGAAAGTCAAGTAGCCTAACTTTCTAAGGTCATTGAAACGCCAAGTTGGAAACATGGAAAAGGACTTTTCAGGTCATTTCTACTAAAAGTGTCTCTGGTTTTAATAGCCTGATAGAGAACCTTCCCACATATGGTGATCTTTAAGTCTGATCTGGATGGTTAATGTTGCCTGGAGCACAGAATCAACATTTCTTTTATATTCTACATAGCACTCTATCAAGGCTTTTCAGAATTTAGGTGGATCTAGCTTTTAATCCTCCCAAACCCCCTCATCCCCTCATCCAGAATTTTATAACTCTTAAAATATTTCTGCAATTTAGAGGGTTGTTCACTTGTTACTTGTTTTGACTATTGAGATAAGATTTTATGTATCAATAGTATATGATATAAATACAAGACTTATTGTAAACTTACTGTAAAATGCATGGATAATGAGTTGTAATTTTTCTGTGTTTGCTCTTCCAAATTAGCTCCTGGGCTACAGTGAAAAGCCAATAAATCTACAGATGTTTATTGGAACAGCAGATGACCGATATTTACGGCCTCATGCATTTTACCAGGTGCATCGAATCACTGGGAAGACAGTTGCTACTGCAAGCCAAGAGATAATAATTACCAGCACAAAGGTTCTGGAAATTCCACTTCTTCCTGAAAACAATATGTCAGCCAGGTATCTTGAAACATCCTGAAATGGACTGTTTTTTCTTTTCCTGAAATAATTTTCAGAAGAAAATATATTTATTTTTATATTAATAGCACAAAAATAAAAGTCACCATTCTGAATTAACTGAATAACATTATATAAATAATTAGAGTATATTTGCTAAGGTTGGTATCATATTTCTGTAAAGAAAATTCAATTCAGCAAAAGTTTATGACCATGTATTTACCAGCCAAGCATCATTCTAGGTGATAGACACAAATATGTGAACTTTTTTCAAGTAGCCCACAGTCTAATCAGTTCAGTTGCTCAGTCGTGTCGGACTCTTTGTGACCGCATGAACCACAGCATGCCAGGCTTCCCTGTCTGTCACCAACTGTTGGAGTTTACCCAAACCCATGTCCATTGAGTTGGTGATGCCATCCAACCGTCTCATCCTCTGTCTTCCCCTTCTCCTGCCCTCAGTCTTTCCCAGCATCAGGGTCGTTTCAAATGAATCAGTTCTTCCCATCAGGTGGCCAGAGTATTGGAGTTTGAGTTTCAGCTTCAGCATCAGTCCTTCCAATGAACACCCAGGACTGATCTCCTTTAGGATGGACTGGTTGGATCTCCTTGCAGTCCAAGGGACTCTCAGGAGTTTTCTCCAACCCCACAGTTCAAAAGCATCAGTTCTTCGGTGCTCAGCTTTCTTTATAGTCCAACTCTCACATCCATACATGACTACTGGAAAAACCATAGCCTTGACTAGACGGACCTTTGTTGACCAAGTAATGTCTCTGCTTTTTAATATGCTGTCTAAGTTGGTCATAACTTTCCTTCCAAGGAGTAAATGGCTTTTAATGTCATAGGGTCAACAGTAAATAATTGCAGTACAATTGTGATTGACAAGTTTCTGTAAAGAAAACTTTTGCCTGCTTTCAGGTGTCCCATTTTATCCATATCCAAATAAAATGAGATTTTGCCAAATTCTGAATGAGAATGAGTTTTGTTCAAGTGGATTAGTTAGGAATGTATAGTACCTGTAATAGAGACCTGAAATGTAGTGGCTTAAACAGCGAGAAGTTTAATTTTTCTTTCTGCAAAAGAAATACACAGATAGGCATTTTTTTTTCTTTTTTTTTTTTTTATGGAACGCTTCAAGAATTTGCGTATCATCCTTGTGCAGGGGCCATGCTAATCTTCTCTGTATTGTTCCAATTTTAGTATATGTGCTGCCGAAGTGAGCACCACAGATAGGCATTTTAGGGCTAGCATAGTGGCTTCATAAGTCATTGGGGCCCCAAGCTCCTTCTGTTTTTTCTTTGATATTTTTAGGGTGTAGTTTTCATCCTCAAGATTGCCTCATGATCCACAGTGGTGGCTAGAGCTCTTGCTATCATAACTGTAATCCTGGAAGGAATAGGAAGAAGGGGTAGGAGGAAGGGTGGGAGAGAATTTTCATCTGAGTCAGGCCTCTTTAAAGAGCTTTTCCCAGAAACTTACCCAACACTTTTACTGCATTTCATTGGTCATCCTTGTGTATAGGGAAGACCTGGATATGTTTTGTTTTGTTTTGTTTTTTAACCTGAGTATATTGCCACTTCTAAAAAGATAGGGGTCTGTTACTAAGAAAACCAGAAAAAGGACACTTAGTAGGCAACCATTACTTTGCCGCAATCAGGTATGTGAAACTTACGGTGTCTTTTTTAGAGAAATTGTTTCAAACTATAATATAGGTCTTTCTTAAGATGACATTGATATCTATCCCAGGCTATTGGAAGAATAGTCATATTAAAATCAGATTTCAGTCTCAAGCTCTCCTTCTTTAAATTTATATTTTTATTTAATTGAATATACCCCTGAAGACATGGTAATTTATGATATAACTGTACAGTTACAAAATAAGAATTGCTTTTTATCTACTTACTAGCAGAAAAGACAATATAGATTTAAATAAAACCTTATCTTTGCCTGCTTTGTTCAAGTCAGTAGTACTCGAGAACTCAATCCTACTAAGTCATTACATGGGCTCAAATAAGAGTTTTTTCATGGCTGCGGCACTGTTAGCTGATAATCTCTACTCTTATATTTCTGTGTTCTGCAGTATATAAAAAGAACTTTGTATTTTCAGCTGATCCTTATTCAGGTACATGAGCAAAACTCTTAAAGAAAAATGTTGACTCTGCTTCCAGGCATCCTATTTGACCCATTTTCAAATAAGGTGAGGTGGCCAGCCTCTAATGAGAATGCAAGAAGACTTTCTCCCTTCCTCCCTTTTACTCTTGGATCTTACATTTTAAATTTTTTTTAGCTGTACCATGAGACTTATGGGATCTTAGTTCCCCAACCAGGGATCAAACCCAGGTCCTTGGCAGTGGAAGCAGAGAGTTCTAACCACAGGATGGCCAGGGAATTCCCTAGGATCTTTTTCATTTAGCATCAAAAAAACACATGAAAATACTGTTATTTAGATGCAGAGGGGAATTTGAAAATCAACTTTGAACTATCTTTTTCTAAGAACCCATAAAATTGCTTCTTAGGTGACAGTTTGCAGGCCATGTTTCCATTCATTCCTCTGGATATTATAAGCAGTAGACTTTACCAGACAAGGAGAGACCTACAAAAACTTTATCATCATTATTTTTTGCCTCAGCTTCCTGAAGTTCATAATCAAGCTCAATTATAGTAATTATAGTAATTCATATAATGTTAGATTTGGATATATTTATTTCCTATTTCTTCTATTTAAAATTTTTTTTCTGTTTCTTTCTTCTTGACATTATTTATGTTTATGTTGAAAAACCCCTCAAATCATTTTTTAAAATAATGTATAAATCAATAAATTAAAGAAAACAGAGTACCTGAGTTTCTAAGACAGATTTTCAAGAACTTAAGAAAGCCTTATGTACCAAATAATGTGAACTTATCAGAACTGTAGAATCCACACATGAAATAGAGGTGGTAGTCAAGATTCATGTTCCCTTCCCCAAGCAGAGGTAGCATACACTGCCTTCCTGGAATAGACCAGAAAGAACAAATTCAGACTTAAATTGTAGAAAGTAGGGAAAACCACTAAGCCATTCAAGTATGACCTAAATCAGATCCCTTATGATTATACAGTGGAAGTAACAAATAGATTCAAGGGATTAGATCTGATAGAGAGTGCCTGAAGAACTATGGACAGAGGTTCGTGTCATTGTACCGGAGGTGGTGATCAAAACCATCCCCAAGAAAAAGAAATGCACAAAGACAAAATGGTTGTCTGAGGAGGCCTTACAGATAGTTGAGAAAAGAAGAGAACTGAAAGGCAAAGGTGAAAAGGACAGGTATACCCATCTGAACCCAGAGTTCCAAAGAATAGCTCAGAGAAGTAAGAAAGCCCTCCTAAGTGAACAATGCAAAGAAATAGAGGAAAACAGTAGAATGGGAAAGGCTGGAGATCTCTTCAAGAAAATTATTGATACCAAGGGAACATTTCATGCAAACATGGTAACAATAAAGGACAGAAACAGTGTGGACTTAACAGAAGGAGAAGATATTAAGAAGAAATGGCAAGAATACACAGAAGAAGTATACACAAAAGATCTTAATGAACCCTGGTGTGATAACTTATCTAGAGCCAGACATCCTGGAATGCGAAGTCAAGTGGGCCTTAGGAACCATCATTATGAACAAAGCTAATGGAGTCAAAGCCTTTGACTGTGTGGATCACAACAAACTGTGAAACATTCTTAAGAGATGGGAATACCAGACTACCTTACCTGCCTCCTGGGAAACCTGTATGCAGGTCAAGAAGCAACAATCAAAACAGAACATGGAACAATAGACTGGTTCCAAATTGGGAAAGGAGTGTGTCAGGGCTGTATATTGTCACTCTGCTTATTTAACTTATATGCAGAATACATCATGTGAAATGCGGGGCTGGATGAAGCACAGGCTGGAATCAAGGATTGCTGGGAGAATTATCAATAACCTCAGATACGCAGATGACACACTACCTTTGTGGCAGAAAGCGAAGAGGAACTGAGGAGCCTCTTGATGAGAGTGAAAGAGGAGAGTGGAAGAGTTGACTTAAAACTCAAGCGTTCAAAAACAAAGATCCTGGTGTCCAGTCCTGTCACTTTGTGGCAAATAGATGGGGAAATAATGGAAACAGTGACAAACTTTCTTTCCTTGGGCTCCAGTATCACTGCAGATGGTAACTGCAGCCATGAAGTTAAAAGACCCTTGCTCCTTGGAAGAAAAGCTATGACAAACCTAGACAGCATATTAAAAAGCAGAGACATTACTTTGCTGACAAAGGTCCATCTAGTCAAAGCAGTGGTTTTTCCAATAGTCATGTATGGACGTGAGAGTTGGACTATAAAGAAGGCTGAGTGCCAAAGAATTGATGCTTTTGAGCTGTGGTGTTGGAGAAGACTGAGAGTCCCTTGGACAGCAAGGAGATCAAACCAGTCCATTCTAAAGGAGATGAATCCTGAATATTCATTAGAAGGACTAATACTGAAGTTCCAGTACTTTGGCCACCTGATGCAAAGAGCCAACTTATTAGAAAAGGCCTTAATACTGGGAAAGATTGAAGGCGGGAGGAGAAGGGGACAACAGAGGACTAGATGGTTGGATGGCATCCCTGGCTCAATAAATATGAGTTTGAGGAAGCTCTGGGAGATGGTGAAGGACAGGGAAACCTAGTGTGCTGCAGTCCATGGGGTCGCAAAGTTTTTGACACGACTGTGTGGCTGAACAACAACTTCCACTGCAGAGTATGCCAGTTTCATCCCTAGTCAGGGATCTAGTATCCTGCATGCTGTGGCCAAAGGAAAAAAAAAGCTCTACTGTTGTCTCAGAGCAGTAGTGTGGGGGAAGATTGGGAGATAGCCTCTTTGTTCTGCTTGCTATCCCATAGATCTGGTCATCTCAAACCTAATCTATCTTGTAGGGTAATACTCTTTAATTAGCACCAATATTCAACCCATAAAACATAGAACCACTCTACAAGATGCTTTAAATATAGTATGCCAATATTCATTGCCTTACCCTACTCACAACTCCTCCTTGATTTAGAACTTGATGGATATGGATGTGGCAGTGTTATATTCTGATCTAGAATATAATTGTGTTGTAAGCAGAAATTAATAGTTATTATCATTCCTATAACTTTAGATTTTGTTGGTTTGGTTGCTTTTTTCTTTTTTCTCATTGCTTAGCCAGAGTTTAAAATGGTCATTTCTGATGCTCCACATCATCTGCTAGAAACTTAACTGTCTGCTAAAATACCTTCCCTTGAAATTCAATAAAAGTGGATAATCTCCGGTATTTCCCACCAAATACTCATTTGGCATATTAGCATGAATAATTACTACCTTGATACAATTTGATCAGTACTGTTTTGAGCTAAGGTACAGTTTTTCAATATTAGCTAAATAGTTATTTATAAATAAAAATGTTTATTTTTGAAAATGTTACTTTTTTAGAAATTTCTTTGCCTTTCTGAAGGTGAAAATATTATATTTTTCAGATTCTTCTTGAACTTCACTGGTTCAAGCCTGATGGATTGTTTTTATTAATAAATATATATAAAAGTTTTAATATGTTATTATTGATTTAATTGTGGTCCTATACATTAATCTTTTCTGGGCTAAGTTATATGTATAGAATTAGAGCCTTTCACTTTATGTTTCAATTATCTAGTTCTATAACACAAACCACCTCAAAATTTGGTGGCTTAAAAGTTGTAAGTGTTTATTATTTTTCATTATTGTTTTCGTTGGCTGGACTCTGCTGGCTCATTCCTGTGGTGTCAGCTGGGATCACTCGTGTACCTGACTTCAGCTGGGAGCTCAGCTGGAGTCGTGCAGAGTAGCTGAGGATTATCTGGGCTTTCCTCTCCAGCTCACTAGTTGGACTTCTTCACTGTGGCTCAGGGCTCCAGAAGAGCAAAAGTGGAAGCTCCAGAGCTGCTTCAGGGCTGGACTTGCAACTTACATAGCATCACTTGACCACATTATGTTTGTCAAAGGAAATCATAAGGTCCACTATCAAGGAGAGGGGACATCGTTACTCTACCTCTTAATGGGTAAAGTGGCATGGGAATACAAGTATGGGGAAGAATTATTGACAGCCCTCTTTACAGTCAGTTGCTACACTTAGTATTATTTGTCATCCAAAACATTTTTAATCCTATTTTTAATTTAAATAGCAGAAAATAGCAGTCATATCTTTCTTTTTTGACCTGATTTTGGGTTGTGATAGTTGTGCCTGGCAGGTTAACAATAACTGTTTAGCTAAGTTGTTTGGAACCACTAATTTCAGTAAGCCAATAATACTTGTATGTTTTTTCCCCCTAGTATTGATTGTGCTGGTATTTTGAAACTCCGAAATTCAGATATAGAACTTCGAAAAGGAGAAACTGATATTGGCAGAAAGAATACTAGAGTTCGACTTGTGTTTCGTGTACACATCCCACAGCCCAATGGAAAAGTCCTTTCTCTGCAGACAGCTTCTATACCTGTTGAATGCTGTAAGTGAGCTTGTGATGATATTTTTAAAATTTTGTTTATAATAGGTCATTTTCATTTCCTGTTTTATTTATAATGTTGAGATCAAAAGTAAACTGAAACCCAGGGTTTGGAAAGCTGGTATGATTTTCTTATATAGAAATAAACTACATGTTTAGTTGGAGTTAGTACTGATCTTGGAGTTAGGAAATGGCCTCGAATTATAATCTGACCCAAGGTGGCCTATGTGGCTATAGACATTATTCTCTTGACTACAGTTTTCTTACCTGTAAATGAGGAAGGGGGCTTGATGACACCTGAGGACCAAATCATGAACCTGTGAGTCTGACGCTAAGTGTCACTATTACTTGGTCACCTTTGTTTTATTAAAATGTTGGAAGATGCCTATCTTTACAAGCTGACAGTTCACCTAACTATGGATTCCCAGGCTTTTGGCTTTTTACCATAAATTCATTTACATCAGCTTGAGAAAGTGAATATCATTTACCTAAATTTTCAAGGCCAAGAAATTGAAAAAGGCCCTAGAACCTGATAATCTACTCAAGCTGTGGATTGAGAACTGTGGACCTCAGGCAGGTTAGCTCATAGGACTGAAATACTGAGATTGTGGTTTAGATCCTTTTGGGCATAATTTTTGTATTAACTTTAAATAGATAATACAGGTATATGGTACAGAATTTAAAATGAATAGAAGTATGGAGTGAGGCCCCTGCACTTGCCCTCTGCTACACTGTGGATTGTGCTTCTCTCTGAATCTGAATAAATCCACTTCTTATCTTAAAAAAAAGTATAGAATGAAAAGTAAATTTTCAAGTCAGCTAATTCCCCTTCTTAGAAACAGCTTTTGTTGCCACAATCTTGGTTACTCTGCCAGACAAGTGCCCATTTAAGCATATATTTCTCTAATTTTTAGCAACATAATTTAAGTAATTTTAAGTTCATAGAGTAGCTTGAGTTTTTGAGATGAATTTATGCTAAAATTACTCTGTTTTCTCTTTTAGTTTATTAACTTAATGTGTGACTATTGAGAATATAGAAAACACAGAATGGTATAAAGAGTAGCATTAAAATCTTTTGTAATGTCACTTCTCTGAGATAGTCACTATTAACCATATTTTGGATTTTTTTGGGTGTGTGTGTGTGTATACACAGTACTTGGTATTTTCACTTATAATGGGCGTGTTCTCATATTGTTAAATATTCTTCAAAAATACTTTTGGCACATGCATAATATTTTATTTTGGCTATACCATTTGCTGAACAGTTTGATGTGTTTAGCAAATGTACTTGTGATGGCTGGTTTCCGCCATAGATAGTCCTACTCCCTAGGCTAGTCAGTGCTTGTGTTCATGCTCCTTCTCTGTTGCGCCATTTAAAACATAAATAGGGACATAAATGTTTTCTGAGATCTAGGTTGGTCCTTGGTACTTTCCAAGTTGTAGCTCATCCTAACCAGACCCATCCCCTCTGACACATTCTCTTTGTACGGGACCAGGATCCCAGTTCATATACCTTTTGTGGCTTGTTATGAAATACTTGGAAGAGACATGGGAACTGGGACTGCATGCATCCTAAAGGCAGTCAAGTTGTTTAAATTTCTGTCAAATGTTGTTTTGGCCAAACAAAACACAGCTGACCCTCAAAACCACCAATTTTCCACCCAAGTAGTAGGACTAAAAGTAGACCTGTTTCCAAAACATGAAGAAGAAAGTGTAGTCCACACTTTATTTTAATCTAGAGAGAAACATAGTTGTTGAGGACTTTGACAGGAATAAACCCTTAAAGAACCTAAGCAGTCAAAAGAAGTATAGCTTGAAACTCAAGCATTTTTTAAAAAAAGAAAAGACCAGAAATAGGATCTCCAGAAAATACAATTGAAATCAGTTGATATCAGAAAATGGTGGCACCCGGAAAAGTTAATACTTTAAATAATGACTTACAGGTTTTAGGATAAATTGTGTTCACATATCCTGGGAAGGAAGAGTAGAGTGCACTAAGAAATTTATGTTCACATTTTAAAATTCTGTATTGAAATGTGTACTTCATGTATACTTTGTTTAGTTATTCAGAAGATCATCCAACATGTAATCCTGATGTCTTGATGATCTGGCTGTTTTCTTGGTGAAAGGTTTACTTGGTGTTTGTCCTTTAGAAACTTGTCTTCTTTAAGTTGTATGTAATGTAATTATGCCTCTTAGTTTTCTTCTTATATTAAATTTGCCAATTTTAAAAGGCAAACTGTAGGGAAGAAATGTATTAAGCTAAAAAGAGAAAAGTGGATGAGGTGAATGTGTTGGAGTCAACATAAGTTGCAGGCATTGATTAATTTCTCTTTATTAGTTTCTCTATAGTCATAGTCTAATAATACTGTAGAAGTCACATGACTAAATAAGTCTTATTTTGTTTTCTAAATAGCATAGTTATTTAGTAGATATTGTTACTATTGTCCTGTGTTTTATAAAAGCCCAGAATTTTCTTCTTTTATAGCTAGAATTTGTCATTTACATATGAAAGACTGTAAACTAGTATTTATTTTTCTTCACTCTTAAAAAAACAGCTCAGCGGTCTGCCCAAGAACTTCCTCATATTGAGAAGTACAGTATCAACAGTTGTTCTGTAAATGGAGGTCATGAAATGATTGTTACTGGATCTAATTTTCTTCCAGAATCCAAAATCATCTTTCTTGAAAAAGGACAAGGTAAATAATATAAAATTTGAGTTGACACAGACATAAAAAACAAACTTACGGTCACCAAAGGGGATAGGAGAGAGAAGGGATAAATTAGGAGTTTGGGATAAGAAGATACAAACTAAAAAAAAAAAAAGAAGATACAAACTACTATATATAAAATAGATGAACTGGGCCACTCTCTTAAACCATACACAAAAATGAACTCAAAATTGATTAAAGACTTAAATGTAAAACCTGAAACTGTAAAACTGGAAGAAAACTTAGGTAGTAAGCCGTGGTATAGGTCTTGACAGTGATTTTTTGAATCTGACACCAAAAGCAGCAACAGCAAAAATAAAAGGGACTACATCAAACTTAAAAAGCCGCACAACAAAAGAAACTGTCCACAAAATGAGAAAGCAGCCTACTGAATGAGAGAAAATATTTCCAAAGCACATAAAGAGCTCATACAGTTCAATAGTAAAAAATCAGACAATCCCAATTAAGAAATAAGCAGAAGATCCCAGTAGACATTTTTCCAAAGAAGAACATAGATAGCCAACAGATATGAAGATTCTCCACATTGTTAATCATCAGTGAAATGGAAGTCAAAACCATAGAGAGGGACTTGCCTGGTAGTCCAGTGGCTAAGACTTCATTCTCTCAACGCAGGGGTCTCAGGTTCATTTTCTGGTCAGGGAACTAGATCCCACATGCCACAGTGAAGACCTGGCAAAGCCCAAAAAAAAGAAAAACACAAAACTATAGATACCACCTCACACCTCTTAGAATGGCTATTATAAAAAAAAAAGCTAGAAAAAACAAGTGTTGGCAAGTCTGTGAACAAGAGGGAATTGTATACTGTTTGTGGGAATGTGAACTGATGGAGTCACTACAGAAAATATTTTGGAGGTTCCTCAGAAAATTTAAAGTAGAACTACTGTATGATCCCGAAGTTCCACTTCTGGGTATTTATCTGAAGAAAATAGACATACTAACTCAAAAAAATACACTCCCATGTTCATTGCCCAGTGTTTATAGTAGCCAAGACTCGGTTATAAGGACCCTGACATCTGTGCTCCTAGTACATCCAGAATGCATCTTTATTAATTATTGTAACATCCACATTTCATTATAGTGAACTGTTTGTATTTGCCTTTCATCCACAGACAGAAAGTAGGGCATCCTGTCTGTTATTTCAGCAACCCAAAGTGCCTGGCAAGTTGAGACCCAGCAGATGATTGCTGAACTGAGCTGTAATTCTGAGTAGGCATAGCATTTGTGCACAGGGGTAGCTCATACTTAGTTGTTGGAGTGGAAAATGGTAGTCACAGTCTGGAAGGCATTTCACCGAGTCTTCACAGACCAGATGAAGTGATGCTAGCAGTGAAGATACTTGTATGGTTTTGTCACAGGGTGAATGCCCATGACATAAAAAGAATGCTTTAGAATAGCTGCACATTAGGCTGGAGTGGGAACACTAGCAGCAGATGGGGTGCTCCTAGGTCAACAAGTCACTTGTGATGAATAGGCAGAAAATGTGCTGGCCAGATAGTAAAGATCTGTGGTGACCCAGATCTGGAAAGCCTCGCAGATTGTTCACAAGACCATCTGTTTCTAAGAAGATCTTGACAAGCCACGCAATCCTAGAAAATGAAGTCTAGTAGGGGGAAACTAACATAGCAAGGGCTAGGGATTAAAAAAAACACACACACACAAAAAACGCAGCTGCATGAGTACACAGTGTGGGAGCTTGAGCTTGGCAGTAGGAAATGTGGCAGACTGAGGGACACTTGCCACACGCGAAGTGTCAGACACTTTCTTGATAGTGTAGCTGCTTCAGAAAACTTTTTTATTGACAGAGACACAGCATCTCTATGTGAGACAACAAGAGCCTCAGTCACTCTCTGTCATGTTGAATCATTTCTCACCTGGTCTCATTCAGTCCTCAGCCTGATGCATTTGGAGGGAGATGGTCACACTGGAAGACTGTTCAAAGAAGAGTGACCAGGAGGGCTAAAATATTGTTTAGGGAATAGATGTGGAACTAGAGGTGCTAGGCAGCAGAAAAGGAGACACAGGCAAACACAGATGCTTTTAAACATGTGAAATACTGTCTCACAGAGACACTCAAGATTTTTAGGGGGTGGCTACAAGGAGTAGTGCTTAGGCCAGAGGTTGGGTACTCGAAGGAGACATATCATGAAGATAGAGCAGTTTTCTAGCAGCAGTTATTATCCAAAGATGAGATGGGTTACTTGGTTAGGGAATGAGTTTCTCATTACTTTAAGGCACACAGTCAGAAAGAAGTTGGCCACCACTCTGTAGAGGTGTTCTCAGAAGATTTTCATACATCACTTAGTAGAATAAAGTCTGCAGGCCCTGCAAATTCAGGTAGCCTAAGATCTTTCTTCACACTTTTTCCCCCGTGGGTAGACATTTTCATAACAGAAGTCAGTGAGATAAAGATTCCTTTTGCCAATAAATTTGTGATACTAAATAAGTTAGATTTTGTTTGCATGCTTTTTGACTTCCTTTTAACTGTAAATTGTTTCTTTCACTAGATGGACGACCTCAGTGGGAAGTAGAAGGGAAGATAATCAAGGAAAAATGTCAAGGGGTAAGAAGTTTATTTCTTTGGAAATATTTGAGATGCTTAATGTGAAAATTAGATAATGTTGCTTTGTGGTATAGATGAGGAGTCTTTTTTAGAAGTTTGGACATGAGATAGATTGCCTTCCTGGTACTGAAATAAAGCTTAGGAAAGATAAACTGTTGGTGTCTTCCCCTTTTTTGTGCATAGGGAAGGAGAAATTAGAAATGAAAGATTATTGGAAGTTCTTACTGAGGTTATTGATTTACTTCTCTGAATTCAGTGAAGAGGTCAAATTCAGTGAAGAACTTTAAATAATGGGCAAAAAAATAGGAGGACAAGCCCTCAGGGGTTTTGTATTTAACACACTCTTTCCAACTCCTCCACAGTAAGCCTTCCAGGATTCAACACTGAAAGCTGTGATTCCTTCATCCTGGTTGGAATGGACACAGAATTTTCTCTGGGGTAGACAATACCTCTTCTCTCAGTGCTCTCCAAAGACCTAGAGAAGTTAGATTAAGGATTGTGGTTGATTTGGGGCTAAAAATTTTCTGTATGCATATGTAAGATTATTCTTGATATAGATACAGATTTTGTGTTTTGCCATTTAGGACATTTTCAATGTAAAATTTAACATAAAGGAGTTCCCTAGTGGTTAGGATTTAACACTTTTCCTGCTGTAGGCCAGGTTCAATCCCTGGTGAGGGAACTGAGATCCCTCAGGCCACACAGCGAGGCCAAGGGACAAAAATGATAAGAAATCTAAACTATAACACAATGTGGGAGCTATTAAACTTTGATTAAAAATTAGAACAAACTTTCACTTAAGATGTATGCTGTTGCTGCTAAGTCACTTCAGTCGTGTCCAACTCTGTGTGACCCCATAGACGGCAGCCCACCAGGCTCCCCCCGCTCCTGGGATTCTCCAGGCAAGAACACTGGAGTGGGTTGCCATTTCCTTCTCCAGCGCCTGAAAGTGAAAAGTGAAAGTGAAGTCGCTCAGTCGTGTCAGACTCTTAGCAACCCCATGGACTGCAGCCTCCCAGGCTCCTCTGTCCATGGGATATTCCAGGCAAGAGTACTGGTTGTGGGGTGCCATTGCCTTCTCCTAAGATATATAGTAACATGTAATATTTATTAGCACAAAATATCTGACTACATAGTAAATAATATGACTTTTGATTTCTGCTATAGCTAGAAACCTAAGTAGGTGAGTGAAAAGCAATTTCTCCTTTAATGGTTTACTTGAAAGAGCTTTTCTCTGTTAAGACTGAAGTATCCTTAGAGTAAATCCCCAGATGACTTACATGACCAGTTAATGTGCATAATGAGCCCAAGTAGTTAAGGCTCATGAGATGTGTTGAGTTTAGCAGGTGCATTTCATTTTTAGTTCTGAGTGTAACACAATCTTGCTTTCCATGCTCCTTAGGCTCACATTGTCCTTGAAGTTCCTCCATATCATAACCCAGCAGTTACAACTGCAGTGCAGGTGCACTTTTATCTTTGCAATGGCAAGAGGAAAAAAAGCCAGTCTCAACGTTTTACTTACACACCAGGTACGAGGAGTTATTGTGACGGTTTACTATACAGCTTTCTTTCATAATGAATAAAAAGTTATTCAGTGAATCCTGTATTAGTTAGTGTGTTTAAGATAGGGTGCTTATAATGAATAAAAATCCCAACATATGCCTCATCTGTGAAGTTTGTATTTACTTTAAATATTAGATCTGATAACAGTTATTTTTTGTTGTCTTTTGTCATAAGGAAATTAGAAGGTTGAATATAGATTTGAAGTCTATTTTTCAGGAGTTACCAAAGGTCACCAGCACTGTTGGAAGGATAGATGTCTGAATACGTGTGAACTTTTCCTTCTGCCCTTATCACTGCAAAAAAGCAGTGTGCCTGTTTTGTAGTATATTCATCTCAACCATTTCCAATCAAAATGGAAAATTTCTCCTTAAATTTTTCATTTGGCAAGCAGCAACTATAGCATGTGTTGGCTTTGGGGGAGTATAACATTGATGGCAGAATTCCTGATTTTATAGAGACACCCTAACAAAGAAGACTTCCACACCTCTTTCTGCAGCAGCTCAAGTGCTGTAATTTTCCAGGTCTGGATTGTGACACACAAATAGTATATGCACTAATTCATGCTGATGTTTACATTCTTAGAGAACAAACATTTATAGAGGTCTTCTCTGTGCTAGATGCTGTATTATTAGTCATCAGATCATACGATGAGAAAAAAAATTGTAGTGAAGCTTATTCTCCAAAACTTATTCTTATAAAAACTTTTAAAGGGTTTATTGTAAATGAAAAGAACAAACACTGTGTTTGAGAGGGTTCTGGTTATTAGGCATTCATTTGTCACCATATTCTTTTTAAAGCCTGGCTGTATTTCATTTATAGCCTCTGAATACTGCTTATATTCCAGAATCTGAAAATTATTATTACTTGACCATGTTAATACATTACTTGGTAATAAAATATTTCAGATAATTTTCAAACCTTTGAACTAAGGATTTTGGTTAGCCATTTCATTTATGCATTAATTCAGTAAGTATTTAAGAATGCACACTAAGTGAGCAAAACCTCTCTTAGTTTCTCTCTCATGGAGCTTATAATCTAGTGGAACAACTAGAAGCTAATAAATCTCTAAATAAATAATTTATAAATTTGTAGTTAGAAACATATAAGAACTGTTAAGGAAAGGGAAGCAATGCTGTGGGTGAAAATAACAGGGATTCTTGCTAGGCTAACTGGTTGTGAGAAGACTTCTATGAGGAAGTGATGCTTGAGTTAATAACTGAAAAATAATAGTAACAGTTTATAATTATATAACATTAACTGTTTTAGTACTGTTCTCAGCCCTTTCTGTATTCATTTAATCCTCTTAATAAACCTGTGGGGTAGGTTGTTGCCTTATTTTACAAATGAGGACACTGAGTGGCTAAGTAATGTACCCAAGGTCTCACAGCATATATTCTAGAGCCAAACATCATATATAGTCAGGTTCCAGAGTCTGGGCTCCTAACTTAACCTAGACTACATCCATTTGTTCATTTATTTAGCAAACAGAGCATTTCTTGTGTGCCAGGTGCTATTCTAAGCAGTTTATACAAACGAACTCATTTATTCTCCCATAATGCTATAAGGGTATAAGTCCCTTGGACTGCAAGGAGATCCAACTAGTCCATCCTAAAGGAGATCAGTCCTTGGTGTTCATGGAGGGACTGATGTTGAAGCTGAAACTCCAATACTTTGGCCACCTGATGCGGAGAGCTGACTCATTGGAAAAGACCCTGATGCTGGGAAAGATTGAGGGCAGGAGGAGAAGGGGACGACAGAGGATGAGGTGGTTGGATGGCATTACCGACACAATGGACATGGGTTTGGATGAACTATGGGAGTTGGTGATGGACAGGGAGGCCTGGCGTACTGTGGTTCATGGGGTTGCAAGGAGTTGGACACGACTGAGGGACTGAACTGGACTGAACGCTATAAGGTAGATGGTGTTGCCCTCCCCATTTGGCAAGTGAGTGAACTGAGATCTTATAGCTAATAAAGGCAAACATGAGATATGAATCTTTGCAGTATGGCTGAATAGTCTGTACTGTTAATTACTGTTAGATAAAGAGTGGGAAAACATTCCACATAAAGGCTGTAGCACATGCAAAGGCCTTGTGGTTGGTTGGATCAGATAGTATTAAAAGAGTTGTAAGAAGTGAACTTTAACAGGGAGGTGACATGATCAGATCTGTATTTCAAAAATGATTTTTCCTATGGTTCTTCTGTCAGTTTATAAGATGTCAATGACCAATGTAGTCTTTCCTCAGATTAACTAACTATAGAGTGTGAAATTTATGTAGGAGAGACCCAGGAAGGATAAAATGTGATTCAAACAGCTAGCGTATTTTGAGTATACAAAGGTGAGAAAGAGCATCAGTGATGATAAAGAATATCAGGTTTCTGAGAAGAGTGGGAAAGGATAGGATTTAAGATATCCCAATTGGCATGGACTTTAAATCGAAAAGAAACAGGAGGGAAGGAAAAGGAGATGAACAAGATGGATGTACATTAGGAACGTTTATAGACTTAGTAGTGGAGAGTTTAAGGAGTTTCCAAATGATAGCTTCAGTTTTGTTTCTATAAAGAATGACATGCAGCCTCCTTCTGTGAGCAGAGAGAAGAGAATGTGGGTGATTTGGCAGTTTAATGGTGTGGAGAAATATGAAAAAGTTATTATAAAGAGAGGGGAGAGTAAGTTACCACGAAAACCTAATAAGATAATCAAAGGACACCTTTGATGTTGATATTGGCAAATTTATGGATACTAATTAGCTCTCCTGTGTAAATTTCTTAAGCAGCACTCAGATTCTTCAGGGCAGGTGGTGAATTATGAATTATAGGGCTCATCCAGGGTCCAAGAATGTTACTAAATTCTTTTGAGATGAGGAACTATAGAATCTAACCTGAATAAGAAGGAAGAGAGCTTCTGGGGTTGGGGAAAAAAGGCACTAGGGTCAGCATGTTAGAGGTGTTGATTACTACCATCGTAGTGGTGGTAGCGGGCAGACAGAAAGGAGCAAATATCATGCCTCTACATTATCAACTCTTGAAGTGAGAAAAACAATATAAAAGCAGAGTCCTAGAGGGCATTACGTATGAGAATGGAAATCACTGGGGCCCTGGAGTGCAGGGAGAACGTTGGATTGGACTAGAGCTGTCATCACTGGCCTTGTGGTTGACAGAATGCAAATCAGGTGGCACATGCTAGTGAAGGACAAGGGGACACACAAGTGTTTGGATAGTCCTTATTCTGCTTGATTATTACCTTTTGTCTATAACATTTGACTTTTTTCACTTTCTTTCTAAAATGAAATTTTGAATAAGGTTTTTACAAAGGCGAATATGTTACTGTGAATGTTTTTAAAGGACAAGTTGAAAAATTTTTTTAAAGCATCCATATTCTCTTTCACTCTATCATTCTCTTCTTTAGATCCTTTAATTCCATGTATAGCCACATCATTTTAAAAATAGAAATGAGACCATACTGTCTTATATGTACTAATTTTATAACCTGAACATTTTTATTTTCCCTATCAGCAGATAAGTTTACAGAATCTTAATAGCTTTTTAGTATTCTACTGTATTGACCCTTTGTTATGGTAGAGTTATTATGTTTGTCTTATTAATTTGTATGAATGCTTTATAGTAGAGATTTTAGCCATTTTGTGTGTAACAATAATTCCTTTTTAATTTTTACTTATAAAAACTTTATATATTTGTAAGTTGCTTATTTTTAATTAAAGGATTTCTTCATTTGCCTCCTTTTTGGCAACTTTCTCACAATATGGATCTGACCACTATCAGTATCCAGTGGGGGAATAATCATTAACTACAAGTGGCTAATTTAAAAACAAATTGTTTTTAATTAGGGATTATATTTAGTATTATTTGTCCCACAATCCATTGCTTTCTAGAATGAAGACAGTTCGCAGCATATGTGTATGATTTACACATTAACCTTACCACAGGCGGTAATACAGCACACAGCCCTTCCCTAGGTTTCAGCTACTTGATCTTCTGCCCAGCTTGTATTCAATAGTTTCAGAACTTCCAATGTGGGGAACCCTGCCCCCACCCCAGAGAAAGTGTATCTCCCTCTGAAGTCCAGCAGAAGTTATTTGTACATGGGGATACCATCTGAGCTCTGGTTTTTGGAATCATGGGGATTTTTCAGACAGCATTAGAGCCAAACTCTCACATATAATGTTTTGCTTGTGGGAGGGTATAGTCTGTATTCTAAATAGTTGACTGGGTAAAGTGACTTTTATATTTTGGTTGTTTTGATTGGGAGGAAGAGCATGCCTTACAGTCAGAAGATCAAATCTCAGTTCTGCCACAGACTGTATCTACTGGCTAACCTCTGTAAAAGAGGATATAATACTAAACAGTGATTTTCAAATTGTTTGGATTGTTTTCTTCTTCAAATAAGGGCTTCCTAGGAGGCACAGTGGTAAAGAATCTGTCTGCCAATGTAGGAGACACGGGTATGATCCCTGGATTGGGAAGATACCCTGGAGGAGGAAATGGCAACCCACTCCAGTATTCTTGCCTGGGAAATCCCATGGACAGAGAAGCCTGGCAGGCTACAGTCTATGGGAGTCACAAAGAGTCAGGTGTGACTGAGCACAGCACATATTCTTCAAATAAAGTCTTATGCAAAAAGCAGTTTTATGAGAATAAAGCTGGCTTGGGTGCTCTTTTAGCACTGGAAAGGGAAGTCCAGAGCTGTTACTCTTTGGATCCTATTCTATATCCATCACTTGAAGAAGAGTGTAAGACTTCTTATGGTTTGAAAACCAGTAGACCAGTTGATCTTTTTTTTCCTCCTGGATTCCTCTGTTCTTCAGCATTCTAAATTTGAGAAATAGCTTGTATAATACAAAAGGTAGAATTAATCTATTTCCAAAACTCGTCTCATTGTAGATATTGTAAGATATGTTTAACTATTTCCCTCCAAACAAGAATAAATTACCTTAGACCAGCATTGAGGACGTTATGTTGGAGTCTGAATTCCTTATAGACCAAAAGAATAATTCTTGATGTGGCAGAGTGAACATGCACTTGATTCAGTAGAGCGGAGTTCTCAGACTGGATACCCAGATATTGGTCAGGAAAGTAGAAATAAGGATTAGATCACACACAAAAACGTGGATGTTATGCTGTAGTTTTCAGTCCCTTGGTGTCCTTTTTAGTACATGATAACCAACCATTTATGTAACCAAGGATCCCAGCTGTTCCATTCAGGATTAAAGGATGAGAATAGGCTTTCTTGGATATTCTCCCTCCTTATGTAGAAATATGACTCTGGGTATAGGATTCACTGTGGCTTTCCTGAGACCAGAGTTGGAGTCAAAGTAAAAGATGAAAAAAATCCAATAGTCCAGGGACAGAGTTCTAGTTCTGCCAAAGTCAGAAGAAAAGTACATCAAGACATTAGGGGGAGAAGAAAAAAGACATTAGAGAGATCAGGAACCAGTAGACACAGTGAACCAAACTTGAAATACCTGAACAAGAATCAGAAGGCAGAAAAACCTGTGTTCAAGACCTTATGATATCACTTAGCTGCTGTGAGATCTTAGTGTCTTTAATCTCTTCAGTATAGTCATCTATGAGGCAGGGTAATAATAATCTCTACCTCATAAAGATCTTCGGGTTTTAAAAAAATTATTTATTTTTAGATAGATAATATATATACATGGTGAAAAGCATTCAAAAGGCCCTAAAACTTTTTACGGTAAAAAGTAAGTCTTCTCCTATTCACCTAGTTTCCCTTCCCAGTAGTAAACCCAACAGTTATCAGTTTCTTGTGCATCTTTCCAGAGGTATCCATACATATTAAGCAAAAACATATGTTTAAATTATCTGGCTTCCCTGAAGCCTTTTGAGTTTTTAACCCCTGACTTGAATGTATGATATAGTTGTATAGCCTAGAATGAAGCCCATTCATAATTATTTTATGTATTATGTAATAACATTTGCTTTAATCTCTTCCTTTTCAGTTTTGATGAAGCAAGAACACAGAGAAGAGATTGACTTGTCTTCAGTTCCGCCATTGCCTCATCCTGCCCAGACTCAGAGGACTTCTTCAGATACAGGACACCTACACGACAGCATACTCTCTGCACAGAGAAGCTTGGTTTGTCCCATCCAGCAAACATATGCATCCATGGTAACCGCATCCCATCTGCCACAGCTGCAGTGTAGGGATGAGAGTGCTGGTAAAGAACAGCATATGATATCTTCTTCAGTTGTGCACCAGCCTTTTCAAGTCACACCAACACCTCCTATGGGGTCTTCCTATCAGCCTATGCAAACTAATGTTGTATTCAATGGACCAACGTGTCTTCCTATTAATGCTGCCTCTAGTCAAGAATTTGATCCAGTTTTGTTTCAGCAGGATGCAACGCTTCCTAATTTAATAAATCTTGGCTGTCAAACACCATCATCCATACCTTTTCATTCATCAAATTCAGGCTCAACAGGACATCTCTTAGCCCACACACCTCATTCTGTGCAGACCCTGCCTCATCTGCAGTCAATGGGATACCATTGTTCAAACACAGGACAAAGATCTCTTTCTTCTCCAGTGGCCGATCAGGTCACAGGTCAGCCTTCCTCTCAGTTACAACCCATTACGTATGGTCCTTCACATTCAGGGACTGCTACAACTGCTTCCCCAGCAGCCTCTCATCCCTTGGCTAATTCGCCACTTTCTGGGCCACCATCTCCTCAGCTGCAGCGTATGCCTTACCAGTCTCCTAGCTCAGGAACTGCCTCATCACCATCTCTAGCCACCAGAATGCATTCTGGACAGCACTCAACTCAAGCACAAAGTACAGGCCAGGGAAATATTTCTGCACCTTCATCCTTATTATGTCACAGTTTGTGTGATCCAGCTTCATTTCCACCTGATGAGGCAACTGTGAACATTAAACCTGAACCTGAAGAGCAGGAACCTAATTTTTCTACAATTGGTCTGCAGGACATCACTTTAGATGATGGTAAGTTCATCTTTATGTTCTTGAAGCAGTGACCATTCAGGAACTGCCTTCTCTTAAGTCTTGAGAAAGTTACTATTGATTGTTTATTGCACATGGTTGGGCTTTTTAATAAGTTGCTGTTACTAGAAATATGTTAATATATTACTCTAGAGAGAGAGACATGAACATACATGCTTTAAAGTCTATTTTACCACTTATATCTGTTGCGAAGGCTAAGACCTTGAGTAATAATAATCTACCACCTATTTGTGATGGAACTGAAGATGTGAGCTTTATTGGGCACTTTTTCTTCCAGAACATGTAGTGAGGTCGCAGCATCTAGAGAATGGAATTCAGAAATGTTAATGCAGTAAACATTGCAGAATCCCATCCCTTTGCAAGAAACAGAGTCAGATGCTAGAAATACTAGAAATGCATCAGGGTAGAGTTCCTGTCCTTGAGGGGAGTCTTCACAAGTAAAGAACCTGCTTCTCTGTGGCCCTGCCAGCTTGCCGAGTCAGATAGTGATGATGGTACAAGTCCAGACTGGTTTGCTGCTTCTGGTACAACTGTTGGCACCGTGATAAAAAGAAGCTATTTATATAAATGTAACAAGTTGGTGTGTAGACCTCTGTTTTTATGAAATCATAAATTGGACAGCAGATTCTGTGGTATTAATTTAATAGTTGAAAATTCCCCCAAGATAGAATTTTCAGGTGATAATTTTAGAGTTTATTCTTGGTTTTATCATTTATATGGTAGTGAAAAACTCTAAATAGGAATGCGGTGAAAGCTAGCTGTAATATTTTTTCAGTATGAAATATGGAAATAGAATTTTAGTTCTGATTCTGTAATCTATTGAAAAGTTAACTCTAGGTCAGTCCTCTCCTTTATACATCTGGAGAGGCTATTTACTACTTGGTTGCAAAGCTGGTGTTAAATTCCACATTTTAAGCAAAAGAGAAAAGAAAGATAAATAAAATGATAAATTGTGGGAACCCCTACCCCTATCCCCGACTTGACACCACGGCTTTACTGTCATATTAGTACATGAGGATACAATGATACAGTAGGTCTTAGTCACTTACAACCAAGATATAAAAGCAGCACATTAGGAGATCAGCAAAAAGATGTGAAAGATTCTATGAGAAGGATTCAGAGAGGCTTCCTTGAGGAGATGACATTTAAGCCAGTCTTGGAGGGTGAGTATATTTTTCAGTAACTGAGGATCAATCACTTCTTAACCTTTTGGCTAAGATCAAGTGTAGTATCAGAAAATGAGTATCAAAGGGAAAATCAGACAACAGAAGCAGAAACATAAAGCTGTGTCTGGGAAAGCATGATTATCTGTGGCTGGAGGGCAGATGGCAAGTAGAGGATGGCTTTCAAAGTGCCAAGGGGATTGGCCAGGTCATTTGTGTGTAAACAAAAGGTATAATAAACTAAAGCAAAACCTAGAATTTTCATAGCATTGTTATCTAATTAAACTCTTAACTAAATCGTCTCAGTTCAGTTCAGTTGCTCAGTCATGTCCAACTCTTTGCAACACCATGGACTGCAGCATGCCAGGCTTCCCTGCCCATCACCAACTCCCAGAGCTTGCTCAAACAACATGTCCATCGAATTGGTGATGCCATCCAGTCACCTCATGCTCTGTCCGAATCCTCTAGATAGCTTCATTTAGAGAATTAGGCTTTCTGAAGGTCACATAGCTGGTAAGTTGTAGAGCTGAGACTGGAATCAGATCTTCTCAGTCTAGTCTTTTTTTTTTTTTTCTTTTGCAGCACTGCAGCTGCCCCCACCAATAGCAGGCCATGATGGTTAGAACTAACTGAGTGCTTAATGGGATCCCCCAAGCTTTTTTTTGTTCCTCGAGAATAGTGGAATATTATCTAGAATGCATATGTAGAATTTCACTGCATGAATATGCGTACACAACTGCATCTGATTCGTCACACTTGTATTGCTTTCAGGGCTTGTGTTTAAAATTTTAGTCCCTGAAACATAGGATGAGACCTGGAGTGTGATAACCTACCTCTTCAATAATGGCACTGAAGATACAAAATTTATTAAGCAGGTCTCATGGTATATTCCAGCTCATTTTCTTCCCAATGAAGACTTTTTCTTCTAAAAAGACACCAAAACTAGAATTTACTCTTTCTAATTTACTACAGACAGTGATTTGGGGGCACAGCAAATTGGAACTTTTAGAAAGGTTTTATGAAGATTTTGTTTCATCTTTTGAATATGTGAAGATGTATTGCAGAAACAGAGAATCTGGAAAAATGAGATCTATGAGGGCAAGTAAAAAAGCAGTTTCAGTTTTGTTCCATTCACAGTTAAGCAAAGTTCCCAGATTGTAGCCCCACAGAGGATAAGGATTGGCTACGGAATTCCCTCATTGCCACCTGTCTGGAGACCTGACAGGAGCTCAGTGGTGCTAGTCATAATTAAAGAGGGGTTTGGGGGATTAAAATACACTCCTGGGCATCTTGGATTGTATACCTTGGCTGGATTGTATATCTTGGATTATACATCTTAGATGTATAATTTTTCCATTTTGGTGCTTAACATGAACTCTAAAATGAATTTTTGATATTTGCCAACTGACTCATTGATTACGTTATTTAGATTTGCCATTGAAGGTAAACTTCTAGATGCTTAGAAAATCCTACGGTTCTGCAGAGTTTTAATATAAATTCATTAAAAAACAACAATTATGTATTTCATAGGCCTTGAACTCTGAAATGTCCACTTTCTGGTAAGCTTTAAAATAAGTCATAAATACCCATCCAGTATTCTTGCCTGGGAAATCCCATGAACAGAGGAGCCTGGTGGGCTACAATCCATGGAGTTGTGAACAGACACGATTGAATGACTGAGCATCCTATACACATACATACATATGATAAAATTTAATTTACAAATTAGGTACAGTAGGAGATTAACAATAACTATTAATAAAGTAGAGTAATTAAAAAAAAGTAAGCCATGAAACATACCAAAAATAATTGGAAGTATACTACTTAAAGTGAACTTTGCAATTAACTTGAGCTCAGGTTTTATTTTAACTTTTCTATATTGTGCTAAGCATTAAGTACAGAGTAATTTTTCACTCTGCAACTAGAAGACATGAGTAATTTTTTAAAAAATTTGTGTTATACTAGTTAAATAATGAAGTGAGTGAAGTTGCTCAGTCATGTCCGACTCTTTGTGACCCCGTGGACTGTAGCCTACCAGGCTCCTCCATCCATGGGATTCTCCAGGCCAGAATACTGGAGTGGGTTGCCATTTCCTTCTCCAGGGGATCTTTCCGACCCAGGGATCAAACCTGGGTCTCCCATGTTGCAGGCAGGTGCTTTAATCTCTGAGCCACCAGGGAAGGAGAAATGTATTTATCATCTAATCCTAATAACTTTTATTAATCCTGTTTCTGTTTTATATTTATTTATCCCTTTTTTAAATCAAATTAAAGCAAATAAAATGTCCTTTTTATTTTTGCGATTTCTAATTAAAATAGAATTTGTCAAGAATCATTCAAACTTGTCTGTTACCTTTAGTTATGCAGACATTAACACCTTAATTTTCATTATAAATTCAGTGACATTTAATAGAGAAGATATTAGTGCACCTCAGCTTGGAAATTCAAGACTTACAGAATTGAAAATAATATAGCTCCCTCATTTTATAGGTAGAGGATCTGAGTTTTACAGAGCTTAAGGTATTCATCCAGGTTAACACTGATTTAATAGCAGAGTAAAACCCAACTCTGAAAAATAAATAAATAAAACCCAAATCTGAGCTCCTAATTCAGAACTCCAGGAGTTTTTTCAGTATTTGCAGTCATGTTTCTCATCAGTCTCTGGCCTGAAACTGTGGATGTGAAGCATCCACAGGGTAGCATCTGTTCAGCAGAACAGGTGAGAGAAAATGCTATTTTCTCAGCAGATCCTTGGTTTGTGAGAGGGACCAGGGCAATCTTAAAATTTTAGATTCTCATTAGAGATGATGTCTTAAAGCCTCTCTATGCTGTCCTCCTCTTTCACACTGGAATTCATTTTCTGTTGTCCCTAGTAATATTATATTCCTGTCAGTCTCTTCCTCTCCAGCTGTTTGGAACATCTCAGGGCCTTTTAAGTTCCAACTGCCCTTGTTCTGTGTGGGCTCTGATGTGTCTGGAATCATACAGAATAAATCTAATCATTCTTCTGTAATAATCCTTCATGTGTGTGAATCTTTATCTCTTTTCCTAAGTCTTAAAAACACTTGAGCAATTTCATCCTTCCCTCAGCCTCGCCAACATGCTTGTTTCCTTCTGTCTGAACCCTAGAGTTTAGTTCATTTTCATAGTGCCATATCCAGAAGACAACACTCTAGCCAGCTCAAAAATGGATTGGGGCTATCACCTTCCTCGTTCAGAAAACTTTGTCAGTTTGGTGTTAGGTCAGGGGATTTTCTTAGCTCCATCTTGCTGTTAATTTAGTGAGTCATAAGTACTAGTCATTAGTCATAACTGAATCATGTCTATTTTGTATCCCCACCCCATGCCCTACCTCCATGGAATTTTTACATGTATTGTTTTTAGAACCCAAGACTAAACTTTGCAATTATCCTTCTTTGGTTTCATTTTGAAGTGATTTGGGCTCCTCACATTAATCTTCCAGGCTTAAGTGAGTCTCAAACATTTTCAGAGTAATGTGGCTTCCTCCTCAGAGGGGTTTATTCCTCGGGATAATAGCAACAGCAGAATACCAACCTTTACCAATTGATGTTCTCTTTCAAAGAGTCTCCTTGGAAGGCTTGTTATATATACTTATTCAACCAGTTAGAATATTATTATTGTTCAAAACTCCTTTGCTGCTTTTTTTCCTTGCTACCTAGATGTATTGATACTATTGTCCCTGCTTGACAAGCATGTGCTACAACTGAGTTTTTACTCCAGTGTTAAAGTTTGTGTGCCTGGAACTGTAATTGTTCCTAAACATTTCTGTGCTTTATTGTGTGCATGTCCCAGATTTGGACCAAGTGATATACATTAAATCAGTACAAAAATGTAGAAATTGTCACAGCTGTATTTTAAGCATTTTTAATTAAGATTATAATATTGTTAAACTAGTCTTAGACCTTTAAATGCAGGTTCTTCTAAGTTGTGATTGAGCTGAAATCAATGAGAACTTTCCATTAGAATCCCTCAGTTCCCTCTTGTCCTGGTCTGTTCACAAACTAACAGAATCGCAGCTGCAGCTCTTCAGCAGAGAAGAGGGTACACGTTAAATATAGCCTGACCTGCTGCTGTGGTGAAAACTGACACTACCACTTGCAGGCTCTGCAGTAACATGCTGATCCTGAATGTAGGGCAATTGCTAATTTGACTGTAAACAGGGACTCTAGATGTGACCTCAGCTATTGTGGTTCGGTATAGGTGACAAGCACATGAACCTGCTTTCAAGTTCCTAGGGAAAGATAAGTGCAAGATTCAGGTGATTAACTTGAATGGGAGAATCAGGATGCTGGTATGGAGGAGCAGCACAGCTAATATTGTCAGTGTTCTAGTCCACCTGTTGGATGCTCCTTTTACTAGTGTTTGTTGTATTTAAATAAATGAACAAATGCATAGCTAATGATGAGGATGGGTCACAAATGAGGTGTTTAGTCACTTAGGGACTCAGAAGTGGAGGAAGGTAGATAATAATGAACGTTCTCTTTTAACCTGGATTCAACGATTCTTATGAATACTCTACTGGGAGGTGTGTATGGGCTATCCAGCCTTAAACATATTTATGATGAATAATTCCAGAGGCCAAAAGTTCCCATAAATAATACCCACTGTGTAGATACCCTATTTGAACAACTTGACACTAAAAATCCTCTGGGTGTTGCTTTGAGTTAATGATAGAGCTGTAAAAAACTCGTTCAGTCATTTCATACAGTGTTTTCCCATGAGAAAACCCAGTTTGTTTTTGAAATTTTAAGAATTCAGTAAATTAAAAAAAAAAGAATTCAGTAAATTATGTATAACGTAAAGCTTAACCGTTTTAACCACTTTAAGTGTACAGTCCAGTGACATTAAGTACATTCACAGTTGGGTGTAGTCATCACTGCTGTCTATTTAGAAAACTTTTTCATCACCCTAAGCAACAGCTCTATAGGCATTAAGTAGTAATTCCTCATTATCTCATCCTAGTCCAGCTGTGGTCACCTCTGTTCAGCTTTCTATTTCTATAACTTTCCCTACTCAAGATACCTCATGCAAGTAGAATATGATAGTTGTCCTGTTGTGTCTGGCTTATTTCACATAGTGTAATGGTTCCAAGGCTCAGCATGTTAAAAGCATATATCAGAATTTCATTCATTTTTATGGTTGAATAATATTAAATTGTTATGTGTATGCCATATTTTTTTGGTCCCTATACCTGTTGAAAAGACAATTGGTTTGTTTCCACCTTTTGGCTGTTGTGAATAATGATGCTATCAATATTGGAGTATAGGTATCTGAGTCTTTATTTTCAATTCCATTGGGTTTTCTAGGAGTAGAATTGTTGGATTATGTAGAATTCTTTGTTCAACTTTTTCAGGAACTGCCAAACTAGTATTTTTCTCACAGTGCCTGTAACATTTTACATTTATAGTGCATGAGGGGTCCAGTATCTCCACATCTCTGCCAACACTTACTTAAAAAAAAAAAAAAAGTAGCCATCCTAAATGGGTGTGAAGTGGTATCATGGCAGTTTTAATTTGCATTTCCGTGGTGACTAATGATGTTGCATATCTTTTTCATGAGCTAATTGGTCATCTGTTTATCTTTTCTGGAGACCTGGCTAGTCAGATCTTTCACCTATTTTTTTTTGGTTGAGTTGTTTAGGTTTTTGTTGTTGTTGTTAAGCTATGGGAGTTCTTTATATACTTCAGATATTAAATCCTTACCATCATGTATGGCAGAAGCCAATACAGTATTGTAAAGCAGTTATCCTTCAACTAAAAATAAATTAATTTTTAAAAATTCTTATCAGATAAATTATTTGCATATATTTTCTCCCATTCTGTGGATTGTCTTTTTACTCTCTTGATATGATTCTTTGATGTTTTTAATTTTGATGAAGTATAATTTATCTATTTTTTTCTCTTATTGCCTGTGCTTTTAGTGTCATACCTAAGGAATCATTGCCCAATCCATGGTCGTAAAGATTTGCCCCATGTTTTCTTCTTCTAAGAGTTTTACAATTTTAGCTCTTATGTTTAGGGCTTTGATTTATTTTGAGTTAATTTTGTATTAATTTTCCGTGAGGGATAAGTCCAGCTTCCATTCTTTTGCATGTGTATGTCCAATAGAACCCTTGTTTGAAAGTGAAAATTAATTGGCCATGTATTGTGAGGGTTTGTTTCTGGGCTATTTTAATTGGAGTGTAGTTGGTTTGTAATGTTGTGTTAGTTTCTGCTGTACAACACAGGAATCAGTTATACATATATATAGCCACTCTTTTTAGATTCTTTAAAAATACAGAATGCTTCACAAATTTGTGTGTCATACTTGCACAGGGGCCATGTTAATCTCCTCGGTAATCATTCCAATTTTAGTATATGTGCTGCTAAAGTGAGCACTGTTTCTGGGCTGTTTTATTCCTTTGGTCTGTATGTCTGTCCTGAGGCCAGTGTACTGTTTTGATTCCTGTAGCTTTGTAGTAAGTCTTGAAATCAGGAAGTATGGGTCTTCCATCTTAATTCTTTCTCAAGACTGTTCTGGCTCTTGAGGGTCCTTGGAGACTCCATATGAATTTCAGAATGGGTTTTCCTGTTTCTGCAAAAACACTGTTGGGATTTTTATTACATTGAATCTATATATATTGCTCTAAGTAGTAGTATCATTTTCACAATATTAGTCTTCCAGCCCTTGAACATGGGATGTTTTCTCATTTATATTCTGTAGTTTTCTTTCCTTGTAGTGTCTGTCTGGCCTTGATAATCAGGGTGATACTGGCCTTAGAATGAGAGGAAGTGTTCCCTTCTCTTCAATCTTCTGGAAGAGTTTAAGGATTATTATTAATTCTTTAAATGTCTGGTCAAAGTTTTTGTGATAGAGATAAATCAGTTCTTTGGAGCTGTCAGCAGAGTTTCGAGGAACTAGAAGAATGTCTTGAGGGCTGCAAGTTTCCATAAGTACCATCTGAAATTACCACTGTATCAGCCGACTCACAAAAGTCCCCAGTGTATCTTGGCCTGGACTTCTTTCTTTCTGCTAATTTATGTGCTGATTTACCTGGAATCCCATGTTCTGGACCATAGAGTCTGTTTTGAAGGATTCAGTTGTGAAGATTGGGCAGCCACATAAGGGAGACCTTTAGCGGTACTGTAATGCTTAAGTCATCCCTGAAACTAGGTGAGTGATCTCAAATTTAGTAATAAAAAAGCATCAGGCAGAGAAGTTTGGCCTAAGCATAAAGAATTCCTTGCTTTTGTGTGTTTTTTTTTTTGAGCCATTTAGTGAGGCTGCATTTTGCACTCACTAGAATGCAAGGAGATTGGCTGCTCCTTGGTTTTCCCTCTTTTATCTGCCTAAGAGGAGGGTATGATATCAGCTAGTTCACAAAGATTATGTACAGTTTCTTCTCTTCCATGATAAAATAAACATTCTTCTAGAGACTAATAAAAGGTTATGTCCTTTTATTTGAATTCATACAGCAAAGGCCAAAAATAATTTTTTATAGGCCAAAGGAGGCTGCCTTATTGTATAGTGGACTCTTTAGCTGGGTATCTGAGTGTGTCATCCATTAGCACAAAACTGACAATAATGACTCTTCTTGAGTACAGTGACTTTCAAACATTTTGACTACTTCTAACAATAAGTAAGTTTTATAGCCTGGATCCATTACATAACAAAAAACATACAACTAATGTGAAAGTCTCACAAGCCAATTCTTAACCTTTATTAAAGAAAATGTAGCCCATCATCTATTTTGTTCTATTTTTTTTAATACTGATTCCAGCTTGCTCTATTGATTTCATAATGTGCTAATAGATGTGAACTTTAGTTTAAAAAACATTCCTCCATGACCTGCAAATTTACCTATGCATATATAGTGTTCTGGGCTCCTACCCTTAGACATTTTGATTCTATGCTCTAAAGTAAAGCCCAGAAGTTTATTTTTTATTAAGTGCCCGACTAACTCTGATATGGCCACAGAGGGACTTCCCTGGTGGTCCAGTGGTTAAGACTTCATGCTTCCAGTGCTTCTACTGCAGGGGCTGCAGGTTCGATCCCTGGTCGGGGAACTAAGGTTCTGCGTGACACGCATCTCGGCCAATTAAAAAAAAGATATAGCCACAGACAAGTATTTGGAAACTAGTTTATTGAAAACTAAATCTATCCTTGACAATCACTGAAAACCATCACTGTAACTTTTAAAAATTACTGCCCTTTTAAATTTAGAAAATAAATCAGCATTACCTAAACTCTCTGGACTCCAGTATTTATATTATCCAGTAAAATGTGGGGAACCATTTTATGCTGTGACTGGCAGGTAAAGGAAAACTAAATTCCTCTTGATTATAGAAAAAAACAAGCTGGGCATGTAGTAGATTGTTACCCTCTGGTTTGTTCCATTCAGTAGTGATGTTGTCTTCTTTGACACAGACCAGTTTATGTCTGACTTGGAACACCAGCCATCAGGTTCAGCAGAGAAATGGCCTAACCACAGTGAGCTCTCATGTCCACCTCCTTTCTGGAGAATCTAGAGGGTGAGTGTTGATTGAAATGTATCATTGTTTTTGTGCCCAACTCTGATATTTGCATGCAGTGGCCAGATTTGCATGTGCTACAGAGGAGGGGGTATCCACGGGCATCTTCTGGTAGGGGCCCGCTTTTCATCTTGGAGCTAAATTTTAACACTCTGCTCTGTAAATTTAACCACACTCAGACTCTCACACTTGTACTTAACAATTTTAGTCTAGGTTTGAATAAAAGGCAAAGGAGTGTTTGATTGGATTTTTTAAAACAAAGCAGAGGGAGGCCTATCTGTATGAATTCTATGGCATGTGTGCTGAGTAAATGTAGTTGCTGATCAGGCGTATAAGCCTACTCATTTCTGGTCAAGTACTCTTTAAGTTTTGACGTAAGGCAGTATGGGATGGAAATAAAGCAGGAAATGTTAGCCATTTGCCAGAGGCAACTTGGATCATTTACCCTTGAGCCTGCCCTTTAGGTCCATCTTTGCATTTCTGGTAGTTTCATCTGGGACTCTATTTGGGAGGAGTCTGTGCTTTTGAGGGAGCCAACTGGGCCTCAAGCCTTTCTACCTCGGCAGGCAACCATAACCCTCCCTTCCCCTCATATAGCTCCTTTCTTCAAAGACTCTCAAAGCCACCTGAGAAAGTCTGTGATAGAAATCATAGTGACTTCCCTCGTGGTCCAGTGGTTAAGACTCTGTGCTCCCAATGCAAGGGCCGAGGGTTCGACCTCTGGTCAGGGAACTAAGATCCCATACAACACACAGCATGGTCAAAAAATACATAAATATTTAAAAAATAGTTAAAAAAAAACAACAAAAAGAAATTACAGATATACAGATTGTAGTTCTCAAAATGCCATTTGAATTTCATTTTAATGAATTTGGATTTGGAAGTGGACTTAGAAATCATGTCCAGTACCCAAATCTTTATATTTAGGATACTAAGGCTTCCAATCAGACAAGGCACCAAAACCCTGGCTCCTCCTAGAATCTGGCCAGCATACCCTGGTCTCATCTCATCTTTGGCAACTAAATTTCTACATATCTGTGAAACTCTCAGGAGAGTTATAACCAGGATTTAAATGAATTGCCTCGTCTTATAGTTGAGAAAAATCAGTTGAAAGTTTGGTTGCCCTAGTCACATCACAGCTGAACGAAAATTAAAGCTTATTTCTTCCATTGTTTACCCCATTGCCCTTCTCATGTATGAAGCCAACAAGTTGGTCACTTGTGATCTTATTAAGAAGTGTTTCTGTGGAGTGAAGGAATGACTAAGGAATGAACAGGAGGTAAGAACAGAAACAGCAGGCAGGGTAGATAATTCCTTTAAGATATTAAACAATGAAAAAAAATTAGAGATAGAGGGCCATGTGGGTACAGGGTTTTTATTTGCTAGCTGGTTTGAGATGGAGACTTACCCATATTTAAGTAATGATGAGAAGAATCTTAGGAGGAGAGGGTGGGTGGGAGGCTTAATTAAAGAGATGGAAGAGTGAAGAAATTTGATGGAACAAGGTCTTGAAGAGGCAAGCGTATGGGATTCATATAGCATAGGTGTGGAATAAGTTGTGTGGGTTTACAACTCTGGAGCTCAGATTTGGGATCTGCAGACAGTAGATTTAGGAGTTGACAGTATACAGAAATGAACAAGGTTACTCAGAGAAAATGTTCAAATTAAAAAAGGAAAAGGACAGTCCTCTGATAAGCCTAAAATTCAGAATCCCACATCTTAACCCAAATTGAAAAGAAGTTTTTTGTCTCCCCCCACGTTTCATTTTTTGCTGATATAAAAACATACGTGCTGATACTTGAATATACTTTCAAGTAACGGTGTACTGTTTACTTAGCTGGAGACTCAGTGTTTAGTCTTTGTAGAATGTTTTGAGTCACAACTTTTCCTAGAGGAAAGGTCTGTATGACAGTATAGTATCACATATAGAAAAGGTTTCTTAGAAAGAAAGGACCTGTAATAGTGGGACTGACCTCCCCCTCAGTCAGTTGTGAAAAAAAAAAGTTTCATAATTTCCCTTTACTAGTGTTAAACCTAATGTTAAAAGTGAAGGATATCTCTGATCCTTGTGCCTATAAATTGAATTTGTCCTGTAGTTGGAAACTATCTAGAGTTCAGTGTGAACTCAATTACTAGAGAAGACAGGACAATAGCAGTCTACCATAGGTAGACTTCTAAATTTTCAGGAAGTTTTTTCTTTCTTTAGCTTGAGAAGGCAAATTAGTCTGATTTTGATAAATGCAAAATAATTAAAAGTTGAGTTCAGTATTTTATGTATTTCATTTAGATAGTATTCTTATAATTTACCTTGTAACCTGAAAGTAAATCTTAGGAAAACTCTGCTTTAGAGTAATAAACCATAAAGTAGTACTAGTTTCTCACCCATTTAAAATAATTTCTGTTCCTTTACTTCCAAATGTCTCTTGTTTCTTCAAGGGAAATTTAGAAAATGATTGTACCTTCATTTTATAAAAAACAATATCTCCATAAAATTGTTCAGCCAGAGAATGAATGGTACCTTTAATCTTGGGGTGTAAGGAAAGGAAGAAAAGATGAACTTGCCAAATTTTTATGAATGTTCATTGGAGCTTAAAATGAAATAGTATACATAAATAGAGACTAATTAGACCTAAAAATAGTTTACAAAAATGATCACGATGCTCAAATGCTAGTTATGAAGGCCCTATAAACTTGTGTGCATTTGACTACACACACTTGTGTGTGTGTGCCTACTCCAATGGCAGGGCTCTAGGTTACCCTGCCCCTCCACCTGGTGGTGAGATTTCATACCATACAGTGCTCGCCAGCTCTAACTGAATTCGTAAGCATTGGGAATAGCTCTAAATAAGAGGCCTGTTGTTACTCAGACACCTCATTCTTATGTGTAGATAGCATTTCATTGGACTACTAATTTGAACGTTTCCTGGATTTTAAAAAAAAGTTTTTTCTTACAGCAAATATTGCTGATGGCTCTGACTGCTTCTGTTGTGGTGACACAGGCAGTCCAGGTGTTGTGGTAATGGGAGTCAAGGACGGTGGATGCCACAAGTGGGCCAAATGCTGTGACCTACATAACCTGTTACCATGGGTGTTGAGGGCTGTTGACTGTTGTTCTAGACTTTTAATGCACTTTACTCTTCATAGGGAGAAAGTGAGAATGTTGTATAGGAGGGGTATGAACAATTCTTTGTTTTTACCTTAAATTAGTGAAAAATATAAAGCCAACTCACATGCTTTATGGAGTAGGATTTAAATCAATAAATTCATGCATATATACATTCAAAAGGAAGTGAAAATGGAATTGTAAGCATTAATATTTTTAAGGAGTACTGTATTTATCAAGATTGCTCATGATTTACCTATAAATTACATTATAGATTTGTTTATCAGTAATAATTTTGATTTGCTTAGGTTGACAAATTTTGGCCACATTAGAAGGCTATCTCAGGGAGCCAGAGCCTAGAGCTCCCAATCTAAGGGAGAAGTGAACGGCAAAGGAGAGCAGTAGACTTGTATACCACACTGCTCTCAAGTTATTGCTGAAGAATAGTGAAAAGACTGCTTTGTTGCAGTACTGACTCCCTGTCCTAAAATTCACATTCAGTAGCTATTATTTGAGCATAATTTTTGTTGTTGTTTTGCCAACATGCCATTAAAGATTCAGTGGCATGTAGTTTTATTCGGCACTCAATATTTACCAAGCACTAGGGAGTCAATGGAGACCAAAATAGACGAGTTCTTTGCTCCATTGGAAATTAAATCTATGAGCTAATTATTATGTATTAATATTATATATCAAAGTATTTTTGTGTATAGTCAGCTTGAGTGCTTCTTTGTGAAAAATCTTCTTGGATTTATCCTAGTCTTAAAATCCTGAACTGTCAAGAACCTTCCAGGTTGCTTTAGCAAAATGAAGTTAAGCACGCTAGGCAAAAGGAGAGCAGAACTTTGGTGAAGGGAGCAGAAACAACGCAGCTTGGATGAGACTTTTGCTATAAAGGTTATCACCTGACTTTTTCAGGAAATCATGTGTTTATCCTTATCATTAAAATGTACTTGGTGAGTGGGGGAATAGTGCTGGTTATAGACTCTCATCCTCAAGATGTAAGCATTGAGTTCCTCATAAAGACACGTGAAAACTGTATTACGTGGTTTTTTATGATGATAGAGCACCATTTTTAATCATCTTGTTTTAAAACTTGAACAGTGAGATAAGAGTTGAAAAAGCTGTGGTTTTATGGCAGCCTATAATATCTCTGAAGTTATCATCTTTGGAAGGAATAAGCAACAGAAAAGATGACTGTGAGCTGAGTACTTGATTCTATATTTGGCTTTTTGCCACTGCTGTGAGACCTGTTTAAAATAGACACTGTCAAAGTCAAAATCAGATGCCATGTGTTAATTTTAATAACATTCTCTGGTCCCTTCCCTACCACACCACCTAATGAACTTTCAGGGTACTAGTTCCAGATAGCTTCCTAGTAATTGTATTGAATTAGGATCCATTTATTCAGTCATCAGAAATTGATGTCTCCTTGGTAGTAAGGTCCTTGTCCTTTGGGAGCTCATAAGCCATTTGAGAGACAGATAATACTGATACCTACTGACAGTCTGATGAGATGAGTAACATTAGAGGCCATGCACAGAGATCACAGCCACCCTTGGGCTCTCTCTCGGCACAAAACTGACCCACAGACCCACACATGGACGCCACACTGCAGCACTGTTCCCTGTTAATGCACCAGAGGTGCCGAGGCTGCCTTGTCTATTCATACCCCTTGATTTGCTATATACATGGCCTATATATGGCCCATGGGACTCTCCAGGCCAGAGTACTGGAGTGGGTAGCTGTTCCCTTCTCCAGGGGTTCTTCCCAACCCAGATATGGAACCCAGGTCTCTCCCATTGCAGGCGGTTTCTTTACCAGCTGAGCCACCAGGGAATCCCATATATATATATATATACACATACATACATATATGTACTATATAAGATTTTTAAAAAATCTTCATTATACATACAAGGAAACTGAAGAGAAAATGTACTGACTACATCCCCATAACTTTTCATTTACATAGAAACTATTTCAGTGAGTGAGTTCTAGCAGTCAAGAGTCAGTTTAGATTAATTCCATCATTCTATGCAAACCATCAAGAATGGTCAATAAGTCCTAGCCTGGAAAATATATTTAAAAAGCACCATCTTGCACTGGGAAGACCCAGAAGGATCGGGTGGAGAGGGAGGTGGGAGGGGGGACTGGGATGGGGAATACATGTAANAGCTTTCTTTATAGTCCAACTCTCACATCCATACATGAGTAGTGGAAAAACCATAACTTTGACCAGGCGGACCATGGTTGGCAATGTCTCTGATTTTTAATATGCTGTCTAGGTTGGTCATAGCTTTTCTTCCAAGGATCAAGTGTTTTTTAAGTTCATGGCTGCAGTCACCATCTACAGTGATGCTGGAGCCCAAGAAAAGAAAGTCTGTCACTTTTTCCATTGTTTCTCCATCTCTTTGCCATGGAGTGATGGGACCAGATGCCATGATCTTAGTTTTTTTAGTTTTAAGCCAGCTCTTTCACTCTCCTCTTTCACTTTTATCAAGAGGCTCTTTAGTTCCTCTTCACTTTCTGCCATAAGGGTGGTATCTTCTGTGTGTCTGAAGTTATTGATATTTCTCCTGGCAATCTTGATTCCAGCTTGTTCTTCATCCAGTCCAGCATTTTGCATGATGTACTACTCTTCATATAAGTTAAATAAGCAGGGTGACAATATACAGCCTTGAGGTACTCCATTCCCAATTTGGAACCAATCTGTTGTTCCATGTCTGGTTCTAACTGTTGCTTCTTGACGTGCATACAGATTTCTCAGGAGGCAGGTAAGGTGGTCTGGTATTCCCATTTCTTTAAGAATGTTCCACAGTTTGTTGTGATCCACACAGTCCTCACATATGCAGATGACACCACCCTTATGGCAGAAAGTGAAGAGGAACTAAAAAGCCTCTTGATGAAAGGGAAAGAGGAGAGTGAAAAAGTTGGTTTAAAGTTCAACATTCAGAAAACTAAGATCATGGCATCTGGTCCTATCACTTCATGGGAAATAGATGGGGAAACAGTGGAAACAGTGTCAGACTTTATTTTTGGGGGTTCCAAAATCACTGCAGATGGTGATTGCAACCATGAAATTAAAAGACGCTTACTCCTTGGAAGGAAAGTTATGACCAACCTAGATAGCATATTAAAAAGCAGAGACATTACTTTGCCAACAAAGGTCCATCTAGTCAAAGCTATGGTTTTTCCAGTGGTCATGTATGGATGTGAGAGTTGGACTGTGAAGAAAGCTGAGCGCCAAAAAATTGATGCGTTTGAACTGTGGTGTTGGAGAAGACTCTTGAGAGTCCCTTGGACTGCAGGGAGATCCAACCAGATCTCTATCCTAAAGGAGATCAGTCCTGGGTGTTCATTGGAAGGATTGATGTTGAAGCTGAAACTTTGGCCACCTGATGTGAAGAATTGACTCATTAGAAAAGACCGTGATGCTGGGAAAGATTGAGGGCAGGAGGAGAAGGGGACGACAGAGGATGAGATGGCTGGATGGCATCTCTGACTCGATGGACATGAGTTTGAGTAAACTCCGGGAGTTGGTGATGGACAGGGAGGCCTGGTATGCTGCGATTCATGGGGTCGCAAAGAGCCGGACACGGCTGAGCGACTGAACTGAACACAGTCAAAGGCTTTGGCTTAGTCATAAAGCAGAAGCAGATGTTTTTCTGGAATTCTCTTGCTTTTTCTATGATCCAACAGATGTTGGCAATTTGATCTCTGGTTCCTCTGCCTTTTCTAAATCCAGCTTGAACATCTGGAAATTCACGGTTCACATACTGTTAAACTAATCACAGTCAGTGTGATTACTAATGCCAGTCAAGCCAAACTTTCATCCTTCACTTCTTTGCCTTTCTGAATGCTGCTACTTGAAAATTTGTCTGTTGAGAATCACAGACTTCTATAGTTAAAGCGACCTTATTAGTTTATAACACCATCATTGATTAGCCAAGGAAATGGGAATCTCGGATATATGAAATAATTTGTCAAGGATGCACATGGAATTAGTGGCAAAGCCTGCATTCAAACCAAACCTAATTTCTAGTCCATTCCTTTGCTTACATATTTTGCTTTCCCAGGTCTTCATTTTCTCCTCAGGTCACAAGGCTGCTCCCACTTATTTTTTCTCAGCCTTTTGCTCTTCAGTGGGACTGTAAAACTGCTCCCATACTTCCAAGTTTCTAGTAAGAAGGTGCATAAATCTCCTCTTGATCATTCACTGTAGTTTCTTACCCATAGGATTTCTCCTTTTGGATGTTCTAATTTCCAAATTCAGTTCCAGAGCTGACCTACTACCTTCCTCTAAATTCCTCCTCAGCTTATCTCCAGTAGTGACAGCACTATTCTTCCTAGACTTAGAGCCCTGGTGGTAGTAACGAGTCAATCCTTTCCTCTTCTTAGTCACCACACTCACTCTTAGAATTGTATTTGTCCAAGACCTTTGCATTTTCTTTGTCAAAATGATTTCCATGCCGTTCTACTCTTTTGGCTTTCAAGAAGTTGAACGGATGTTTTGAAACTGATTCTACCATTTACTAAGCAAATTGTGTGAACTGGCAAAGCCTCTGTTATCTATCTGTAAAATGGGATAATAGTGATGTAAAATTGTTGTCAAGATTAACTGAAACAAGATATAGATTTTCAGTTGTAAAGTTTAACTCATAGATGCTCAATAAATATTTGTGGAGTGAATGTTACTTCCCTCTTCCTTATAGCCATAATGAGTATATGAGTTTGAAAATTTTAACCACCTAAACAATAGATTAGATATTAATACTTGAAGGTTTGTTTAATGATCAATAGTGTCTCCTTTGCTCTATGATCACTTCAGATGCTGGTTATGCAAAGTTTTTTTTCTCTTGGTCTATTTCTTTTTTCTTGGTCTATTTTTATTTATAATAGCTGTACTGAGATTCATCATTCATAACTTTAGAATTCATCTTTGAAAATAATACAGTTCAGTGTTTTTTACTATATTCATAAAGTTGTAGAACCATTATAAGTATGTAATTTTAAAACATTTTCGTTACTCCAGAAAGAAACCCCATACCTCTTTGCAGTCACTCCCTGTTCCTTCCTCCCCATAACTCCTGGCAACCACCTATTTATTTTCTGATAGTTCTGACCATTTTATATAAATAGAATCAAACACGATAGGACCTTTTGTGTTTGGCTTCTTTCACTTAGTGTAATGTTTCCAAGGTTCAATCCCTGTTGCAGCGTGTATCTAGAACCTCATTCTTCTCTAAGGCTGAATAATATTTCGTTGTATGGAACAGACCACATTTGTTTATCCATTCATCAACGGCAGACAGTTGGGTTGTTTCCACTTTGGGGCTATTATGAATAATGCTGGTATGAACATTTGAGTACAGGTTTTTATGTGGAAGTAGTTTTCAGATCCTTTGAATATATGCTTCGGAGTGGTCTTAGTCTAGAATTTTTAGTTGATGAAGCAAAAGAATTTTCATTTCAAAGCAGAGAGTTCTAATGGTGAGAGAACTAAAGGTTCTTATTTGGGATGTTTCCTTCTATGTTGGTTTCTAAGATTAAAATTCTTTGCATTGGACCTCACAGAAGGCTATAAATCAACAAAATCAAGAGCCTTTTCTGAAAGGATCAGAAATAATACAAATGCCCCTACATAATAAAGGATGTTTGTATTAGCATAGGGTAACAAAGTAATCCCCAAATCTCAACTCTCATCAGAGTATTTATTTTCATTCACTTTATATCCAAGGTGCACTGAAGGAATCAGAAAAGGAAAACTCTCCTAAAGGGATGCAGATTAAGGAAAAGTTAGGTTAAAGTGAATATATTTCAGAAGAATCCTGTCTTCTGCTCTGCAGCCTGAGCCTTCACAGTGAGGGTAGGAACGTTTCCCCTTTCCCTGAGCCATTCCGCTTCCCAATAAAACTGAAAGGTAGAGAAAGGGGGGCCTGGAACAACTTCTGGAATGATGTTTCCATCCAGTTCAAGAGTAGGCTTCAAGCACTGCCTTCACTTTTTTAGAAAGCCACAGAAAGGGAAAAAACATCTTTGAAATAGAGCTCGGCTTCGGGCATCATATGGTCAGTCACACAGAGGTCACTAATTACTCTTCCCTTTCTTGTTTTTCAGTGAACGAGGTAATTGGGAGAGACATGTCCCAGATTTCCGTTTCCCAAGGGACAGGGGTGAGCAGGCAGGCTCCCCTCCCGGGTCCCAGTTCCCTGGATTTAGGAAGATCCGACGGGCTCTGACAGTGCTCACTGCAGCCTTGTGTCCACCATCATGTACTTCTCAGCATGTTTCTCTCCTTGGACCTTGGGTTTCCAACTCTGCAACCTTCAGGATGGAGCCAGGAGTTGGGATCACCGTATGTGGGGAAAGCAGCATTCCTCCAATTCAGGCCTTGGGAAGATTTTGTAAGAGAACAGGAGCAGTACAGGCTGTTTGATCTTTGGAGAAATGAGCTTTGCTTTTTATATTTAAATAGGATACTTTTATATGATGGGTGCTTTGAGTGTGAATGCAGCAGGCTCTCCATTTCAGAGGTGCTGCTTCTGCAGGTGACCTGGTTGCTTAGCTAGGATTGGTGATTTGTACTGTTTTAGGTCATTTGAAGGACTCTTTAGCTTTGATGGTATTTTTAAAGTAGAAACTTTTGATAAAACTTTCCAGAGGTGAAAGAAAAAAAAAATTACCCCAAGCCCACACTTATGCCTCAGAAACTCAGCATGTGTCCTGGAAGCCTTTCATAGATTTATAGGAAGTAAAGCCAAATGTAGCTCATACTTCTTTATAAAAGTAAACTCTCAGATAAAATGAGAAGAGACCATTCCAATCACTGAAGTATTGGAATACAAAATGACATTCCAGAGCATAGCATTTTTGTAACTTTTTAGGTAATCTTCCTGCTGTCTCTCCATACCCTCTCCATGTTGAAATTGCTTTTTTCCCCTCAGGGCCTTGGGTAAATTAACTACATGTAAGGGAGCTTTGAAAGATCGGGGTTTTTTTAGCTTGATATCTTTAATTCCTGCCATCCTACTAACAGGTAGGCTGTGGAGTATTTTTCATTTTTGTGTCCTCTGGTCCCAGACCTTTTCCAAGTGGAAGCATCAGCATTTGGCTACCATAGTCTCTTGATGGTTTGTTTAGGCAACTTTGCTGCTTCTAGCTCATCTCTAGAGGCCAGGCTGTGTCAGAAGCCAAGCAAAAATGAGCTATGCTTCAGGACCGGGGCAGAGGACCTGCAGGATTCCAGATGGGAAGCTCTTAAGATCTGCACTGGCGTGGGAGGCTTTTCCCTCTTTGTTTACAGCCTGAAATGATCCTGGCCTATCCTGCCCCATCCACATGGCCTAAAAAGCAGCCTTTCCCTAAAAGGCTTTGAGGCAAATCCAAAAATGAGATACCATTGTAAGCCTGCCCCTCCACACCAAAGATGCCCTGGTGCTGCTGCTGGTAAGGCTGGTGCCCAAAGAGGGGCCAGCAAGAAACTCCAGCCTGCTGTCTACCAAAGGAGGTGCCCAACTTGGGTTCTCTTTTCAAACCCTGCCCTTACCCATCCCCTTAGTGGGATTAGTTTCCTGTTCCAAGGCTTGGGCCTATTTCAAGGCCCCTGAAGCTTGTAGTACGTTTTCAAACGAAATGTTGTACTTCTATTCAGGAAGCAAATTTTCTGAGTGCCTACATAGGAGAGACAGTGTGGTGGGCTCGTCAAAGGCTCCATGCTGTTACTCCAGGGGATTGTGGGTCCCAGATGCCAGGACTCTCTACTGAGGCCAAGTGAGGCCTGGATGGAGGGAGCCAGCTCAGTGTCCACCATCTCTAGTCAGCCTGATAAGAACTGTTGACCTAGGATGAGGAAGTATGGTCTTTTTTTTTTCTTTAAGCCATGATGTTTTCAATTTCTCCCTAAAATTAGTTAGAAAAAAATGTCTATCTTTCAGCAAATCACTCTAGTCCTTCCTGGAGCCCAGTGTTTTCACATTTTCTTTGAAAGTGAGTTTTGTGTCACAGAGTGTAGATAGTGAGATTTGCTTTGGGGCCTGTGGTTGGAAGCCCAGAGCTTGCTCTGGAGGGTTTTGGGGGGCTGACCCTCTTGAGATGGCCAGACTTGCCTCCGCCCTCATGCCCCTGGTGTAGCCACCTCACATGGGGTCCTTACGAGAGCTTCCCTTGCAAGACCCTTTGGGGGTTGCTCTGTTGCCCTCAAGAATAAAAGCCTCTATGATCCAGAGTTGCTATGCACCAAAATTTGATGCCTTTTAAATACCTTGATGCCTGTAGCACTAGAAATGCTTTCCTATTTAAAATAAAAGTTCAATTTTAAAATAGAGCTTTGTATACTACATAAGCAGTTTTGTATCAGCTTTGTAAAAGCTTTGGTGTAAGAGACAGTATTTTTTGGCTTTGTAGACAAAGACCTTAATTTTTGTGCAACATAGTGGTGTTACAGCACACATCCATTAGACTATGCAAATTGAATTCTAGTAACAGCACTGAGCAACTGGGCATGTGCTAGCACCCACCCCTCCCCCCTCCAACCCTGCTAGACCTTGGGTTGAGGAATGGGATGAGCAGCCTTCTGCTTACTGGAGATACACAAAGAAAGTTGGCTGAAACAGCTTTTAAAGGAACAGGTGTCTTGGAGTTTGAGTGTGGTGCTGCTGCCCAGGGTGCATCCCACCCCGGCCCAGGGCTAGCCCCTGTCATGAGAGCTCTGCTGAGTGCAGCTGGAAAGCCCTGTTGTTGACACTCAGAACAGATGGTCATCTGTATGGCTCCGGTGGGTTCAAGTTGAAACCTTGTATTTTATAAAATGGATGATGTTCAATTAAGGAACTGGTTCTCAGTTATGTTTACAGCACTTGAGATTGTGTTTTCTTGTACATTTTGTATTTTAAAACCTTTTATAGGAGTACAGTGCTCCTTACACAAATACAAAGGGAAGAAGCCAGCAATTCAGGCTCCTCAGTTACAGTGCTGAAATAATAAATGGTGACAGGTCAACAGTCTCCTTGAAATCTGCCTGAGTGTTCCTCTGCATGGGGCTGGTGTGGAGCCCCTCACTGTGTGCCAAAGGGAAGGGCACTTGGGCTTTTAAAAAGTCCATTTGGTTAGGAACGTTTATTTTACAGAGGAGCGGGTAGAATTCCAAATTCCTTCTGAAGCTCAGTTGGGCACCCTGCAGTGGGTGCAAAGGACATCCCAAGGTGTCTGCTGAGTTCAGGAAAACTGACCTGCCCAAGGTGTGCATGGAAAGTAGGCAGAAGTCCCTTTACAAGTCAAGCCTGAGTTTTTCTGTGGGGGCCTCCCGCCCCCTAGTGTCCTTTGGGGATACTGCAGTACAGTCCATCGAAACAGTTTGTGGTTTTTGCCATCTGCTACTCTTTGTGCCAAGCTCCAGGGGGACCAGCATCCTTAGGTGGGACCACCCCTGGCACCATGTGGTCACTGAGGTCCAAGTATCCTGGGGAGTGGGACCAGCACACTCTGCTGCCCTGCGCCCCGTCAGGAGGGACAGGGGAAGGTAGGACACTGGTATCTTTACTCAGAAAGAAGCTCCCTGGAGTCATACACTGAAAGCACCAGGGCTTACATTTTTTAAAAAGAAACCAAGCCTGCTGTGGACATCAGCCCCCCAGAATCTGTAGGCACGGGCCATATCCAGAACAGAACAAAGGCTCTCTGGGTGCTACTTAAGGAGCCCAGATCCGACCACTGGGAGCAGGGTAGCGCCATTTCACCCCCAGCCCTGCATTCAGGGTCCAGCCATCATCTCTGAGGTGGACAGGCAGAGCGATAAGTAGGGGGAGCTGAGGCTTGATCTCCTCTGGGGGCCTTCTGAGAATTTTGAAAAGCCAGAAAAAAGCCACCAGGTTGAGGGCGCTGGTTCTCTGGAGTCAGGAGAGTCCCATTAGCTGAGGACATCAGTCAGCTCTTACCTCCTGGCTCCCTCACCTACAAACACACCCATTCTTTGGGGGCCTGTAGCACAGTGCGAGCTGGGTCACCAACAGGCATCAGGCTGGTGTAGTCATCAGGGGCTAGCTGCAGGAGGGACAGAGATTTAGCCAGGGAGCCCCAGGCTCAGTCAGCTTCCCCAGCCCTCCAGCCAAACCTCACCTGGTAGGCCTGGAAGACGCTGAGCAGATCCTTCATACCAGCTGTGTATGGGACACCCTGCATACGGACCAGGGCTCCTGGCTGGGACAACACGGAGGTGGGAGCAGAGGCCAGGGCTGCAGTGGGTGTGGTGAGGTAGCCCATAGTGGTGGGGGAAACTGGAGGGCTGGGGGGAAAAGGCAAGGATTTAGTAGTGTAGTCCCAGTTATGGCCTAGACCGAGCCCTGCCTGCTTCCTCCCTTGCCTCTGCCTTGTGTTTGGTTCATTTCCTCCTCCCTGAAACCCCTGCCTCCACAAAGTCCTCCCTATTCCAGTATGTAGGTGGCATCAATCAGCCCATGCTTGTCACTACCTCACTGTATCAATAAGGGAGCTCCAAGAGGCCTTGAGTTATGTGGCCCAGGAACGGGATCACGCATGGATCATAACCCTCCCGCAAACCAAGATGAGGGCAAGACTGAAGTTCTTTTAGCAGTAGGGTACCTGGGGTAGTATGCTGTGTAGTTCATGTAGAGTTGAGTGGCTGGCCCTGGGTAGTAGGCAACCGGGGTGGGAGCAGCAGGCACCCTGGCAGCTGGGAGTAGTGCTGAAGAGGGATACAGAGCTGCTGTCTCAGTGGGAATGAGGGTCGGGGTGGCCTGGAAGGTGGCGTAGGCGGGTGGTGAGAGGCCTAGAGGCAGAAGCAGAGAGTGTATCTGCAGGGAGCCCAGCACTGCCCTGGGTGGGGCAGCCAGAGAGGAGTCCCCCCACGTAGAAAGTGAGGGTGATAACAGCCTGGCTCCCACATGCTGCTTCCTTCCCCAGCCCCTGGGACACTCACAGGGCAGCTTGCAGGGTGGAGGGGACATGCCACTGCGGCCCAAGGTGCCCCCCATCAGGACACGGCTCATCTCCTCTGTGGAGCAGGGGACCACCTCCACATAGCGTTCCTTCATTGCTTTCTTATGGCAGCGCTGAGCAGCAGCTAGGGCCCGCTCTGGTGATGTCATCTGGATGAAGGCATCCCCGGATGGCCGGCCCTGTGCACACCACCTTGTGAGCCGTCTGTCATGTGCAAGAATCCCTTACTCCCAACCATGCCATCCCACTGGCTCGCCCTGGGCAGCAGCTTCACCTGCTGGTTGAGCACCATATGCACACCGTGAGGCCGAATGTCAGCTGCCGCCTCGCCCAGAAAGCTGAGGATGTCTTCGATGGAGGCTGTGTAGGGCAGGCCTCGCAGGCGGACACAGTCTCTCCCGGTCCCAGCTGCCAGTGGGAAGGGGATGGGCAGCAGTGGAGCAGTCAGGGTGGGAAGGAGTGGGCTGGAGGCATAGCGGTTCAGGACCTAGAAGTAAAGGAAGCAGCAGGCTAATTATGCCAAGGAGGGCAAGGCCAAGGCAGGGGGAGAAGGGGCACCTAGAGACGTGGGGTGGGGGGGCCTGGGTGGCTCACCTGCTGCACCTCAGCTGCAGTGCTCCGGAAGAGTTCAATGTATCGCTTACCCAGCATGCCCTTATGCCTGCGTAACGCAGCCTGTGCCAGCTCCTCACAGGCAAAGAGGGCAAAGGCATCACCCGTGGGCCGGCCATCAGGGTGGCGCACAAAGAGCAGCCCATCAGCGCCCCCCGTCACGGGGCACTCTGGCCCCAGAAAGCCTAGCACGTCTGCTGGCCCAGCAGAGAAGGGCAGTCCCCGCAGACGCAGGATCACTTGGTCTTCCTGTGACAGGAAACGCGCCACCTCTAGCGATGTGCCTTGGGGGAGGGGGGTTGCGCATGGGAGTCACCTACTGACTTCATCTTTGCCCTTCCAAATACCCACCCACACCGGCATGCAGGGGAGCAGGAAGGCATGAGGAAGCAAGACGTGTCAAGGGCCAGGGGGCACTAGGCACTGTCGGGAGCACACTCACCCCCTGCGATCTTCACAAACTCCTCTCCTGTTGCCTTATACACCTGTGGGGACAGCCCATGGGTCTCGTGCCTGCCCAGCCTCAGCTCTGCCCTTCTCCGCTCCCAAACCTAGAGCCCCACCTCGATATAGCGGATGCCCATGTGGTGCTTGTGTCTCTGCAGCGCTAGGTCCCGCTGTTCACTGTCCACAAAATGGATGAGAGCCTCACCATTTCTGCGGCCCTGGGCGTTGAGGCACAGTGCTACACCACCCCTGCAGAGCCAGCACTGCGTTAGTCCCTCCTGGATGGGCCTGCCCTCCCATGCCCACCCACCCTGCTGTACCACCTGGCAATGTTGAGCCCTTTGAAGAATCGAGCCACGTCCTGGTCTGATGACTGCCAGGGCAGCCCACGAGCCCGAACCACAGTCTCGCTATCCACCACGTCAGCCTTGCTGCTGTGGGCGCAAGGCACAATCAGAGCTGTCCAGCTGCTGTCACCCCCAACCCTGCCCCCTCACTCACCAAGGCCCTGTCTCATATTTCTGCTTCACCACTTCAGGCTTCAAAAACAGTTGACCTGAGAGGAGATACGGCATGGGGGTCAGCAGGGGGGGGCCTGTCTCCCCACCAAGCTCTGCAAAAAGGACAGTTGAGGGGGATGAGGAGGTAACAAAGGGGCTTTCTTCACCTGTGGCCTCTCAGAGGTTACACGTGAGGAGGGGAACTTGGAGGAAGTAAGAGGCAGGCATTCACCCAGCCATGAGAACAGGTGAAAGGTGGTGAGGGGAACCTTACCACTGGGACTTTCAAGCAGGTGGAGGAGGATGGCTACCATTGTCTTCACTTCCCACACCCCAAAATCATCCTCTGTGGCATCTGTCTCGAGCCCCAAGTCTATGAGCAGAGAATAACAATGAGGAAATCCCAGCACAAGAGGACAACCAGCATGTCCCACTGACGCTCACGGCCCCTACATAAACACATGCAGAATCCCAGCAAACACGTCTGTTTTGGCTTGTGCCATCTGTGCCATTACAGGCCCCCAGCCTAGATAAATGGAGACATATGCCCACATTCCAAATGCGCCCCAGCACAGACACACAGACTTGCAGTCAGCAGTTCATGTAAGCTTGCATGTGTTCATCCAACCTGCCAGCATGCACACAATCAAGACACATTGAGCCTGCAGCGACCCTTCCACCCTCACTCTGCTGGGTTACAGATACCCTGTGCCATGGTGGCCACGGTGAGGTCCTTGGCAGAGCGGGCACTCGGGTGCTGCATGTGGAACTCTCTGCGGAGGTCGTAGAAGGAGAAGAAGGTGTCGGGGAGCACCAGGTTCTGGGGGCACATGGGAATGGGGATGAATGGGGGAACTGAGCTGCCCTGGCCTCCCCCCACCCCCACCCTGTGACAGTGGGCATCCTGGGAACCGTGCCCCCTGTTGTACCCTCAGTGGTGGCATACCTTCCTGGAGGCCTCAGGGTGCAGGACCTGTCGCAGCAGTTGCTGCCCATCAGTGCAGAGCATGTAGGGGCCCCCGCCCAGCAGAGCCACATCCCCGCTCACCAGCTGTGAGAACTGGGAATAGGGAGTGAAGAGAGAGACAGAGGGACTCACCGCCAGGTGGGCAGGGGGAGGGAGGGTGCAGGCTTGCAAAGCTGGTTCAGCCAGATGTTCAGCCCTTCCCTGCCTGGGGAGGAGGCTGCCACGCCTGCTGGGCCTGGCTCTGTGTCCCACCCCCTCCCTCCCCATCCACTGTCACCTTCTCCAGGCCAAATGGGAGCAGTCACAGATCACCCGAGCCCCCATCACACACACTCCAGGAGTCTGGAATGGGGCCAGAGCAAACACCTGGTGGAGTGGGACAAGCAGGTGGGGAGGGGCGGGACAAAGCAGGTTAAACCTGTCCCTGACCAGGCACCACCCTCAGACAGGTGAGGGAGGCCCAGCCTGCTCACGGTCAATGGCAGCCCCGCCCCTAGGTCTGACCAACCCGGGGGCCGAGAAACTCCAAGGACAGAGCTCCACACCTGAACGCCAGGGGCAGCATGAGCTTTGACCCAGACCCGATCGACCGGCTGGCACTGAGGTGTTTGCTCATGGAGGGGGCGGGAAGCGGCCCAGCCCCTCCCCCATTCTCACCCCCGCCGGCGAACACGTAAGAGCACAAACCACAGGCCCAAGAACCTTCCCTAGCCCGAGCTTTCCCATCTGAGGCTAGCAGAGCAAGGCGACCCAGCCCACGCATCCCAAGTGGGGGCTAGTTTGGGAGTCCTGGAACAGACTCAGGTTCCACATCGTTGTGCCTGTTTCCTCATCAGGAACCACCAAAGTTGTCGGAAGATAAAAGAATTTGTGCTAGTAAAGCACTTTCACTCATTCCACCCAAGAGTCAGGCACAGGGTGAGCGCAGTAAAGAAGATAAGAAAAACAGCAAAGGGAACCGCCTTCCACTTCAGCCAGGCCTTTGCACTCAGGAGCCAGGTAGCCCCCCAGGCGTGGTCCGGACAGCGCCCATGCCTGGCCAGCCGACCGGGACAGGCCTGGACGAGCAGCTTACACCTGGCGGCGTCTACCTCCGGGGCAGACACCGCCCTACGCCCCCGCTGCAGCGTCTCCCAGGAGGGTGGGTGGGCAGGACACAAGCCGCACAGACCGTGACCTGTGGCCAAGTCTGGGCCCCTTGGCCCTTTCAGCTTCCGGCTGCTGTTTTGGACGACCTGGCCAGGCAGGTTCCCAAAGGCGTCTCACCTACCTCCCCCCGCAGGCCTGGGACTCTGGGAGGGGTCTCGCAGCCTCCATCTCCACCCCCTCAATAGGAGTGGATCACTGCAAAGTCTGAAAAGACGCCCCCCTGGAACGGCCGACACATGCGGACACACGCACATTAGGGAGTCGCTGAAAGTTTCAAACAACAGGAACCCGTCCTACCACCCTGTCCACTTGGTTGTGGTGCGCCAGGCCTCGCCTCCTGCCGCCTCTCCCGCCGAGAAATGTCCCTGCAGCCCGGCCGTGCCTCCATTCACCCCGGCCCCGGCGCTCACCTGCTGCAGCACTTTGTCCAGCGGCTCGGCCCGCGCCAGGCTGTCGGAGCTCAGGCCGCTCGCCTCGCGGCACTGCGGGCTCAGCGCGGCCGCCTCGGCGCGAACCAGTGACTTATGCAATGTCCCCACCTGCGAACGGCGGGGAAAACCGATCAGCCACTGCGCTCCTGGGATCCCGAAGCTCTCTGGAGATCTCAGCGCCCCCTTCCCACCCTACCTGGCGGCTCCGCGGCTCCACCACTTGCCAGACTAGGAGGATTAAGTCGGTCTCGTCGGAACCCAGGTCCGGCCCCAGCGCACCGGCCGTGGCCCCGAACAGTACGACCAGGGGTCCAGGCCCGGGACGGGGGTCGGCAGCGGAGTCTGCAGTGGGGTTCGGGCCTGGGGGCGGCGGCTGGGGTGGCGGCGGAGTCATGGCCGCAGAGGAGAGGGGCGCTCCGCCAGAGACACACGCGGACCGACGAAGCGCACGCACGCACCGACCGACGGCAGCGCGGCCCGGCTGGGGCGGGACACCGTGTGTTGGGGGCGGCACCTGCGGCCCGGCTGGCGCAGTGGGCGCTGCTGAGACCCGCCCGCGGCGCCCCGCGGGGCGGGGCGGCTACCGGCCCCCGCCCTCTCTGGGCGAGTTACCTGTCGGCCCCGCCGGCCACGTGATCGAGGGCCCGGGAACGGTGGGGGAGGGCCGCTAGAATCCAGCCCTGGACGCTCACACTCGCTCTCCCGGCCTGGGCTCGCACTCAAAACCCAGACTCCACTCCCGCAGCCGACCCTGCCTGACTTCTGGGGCGACCCCCCACCCCCTCCCACTCCCCTCTCCCACCAGGGCTCCATCAAGGAAAGTGCAAAACTGGGGGCCTTCTTCAGTCCGTAAGCGGCAGCCTAGAGGCTGTGGGGGGGTCACAGCTGGGGCTGGATGAGTAAAGTCAAAGGGGGCGGTAAGAGTTACCAGGTATCACCCCAAGGCTTGTAGGGTGATTGCCAGAGGTCGACTGGGGTGGGAGGAGAGTGGCAGGAAGCACAAGAGAGCATTAGAACCATGGGGGGATTCACCAGAGGTCAGTGGGCAGGGTTTGTGCACACAGGTGCGAAGGCTGGGCCTTAGCCGGGCTCCTGGAAGTGCCTGCGATGCCAAAGCGCGGTAGGACGTGTGCAGGACTCGGTCTCGGGAAGGAAGAAGCGCGTCTCCCACATCCCCGGCCCCAGCTCCCGAGAGCGGGCCTCTAGACGGCGCTGAGCCGGACTGCCCCAGCAAGGAGCCTCACCCCCACCCCCGACGTTTAGGGCTGCGGTCTGCTTTCGCCCTTCCGCCTGGATAACAGGCCTGTTGCTGGGAGTTGAGAGCGCGCTAGCCGATGGGGGCTAGCGGCGAAAGTGCAAGGGGGCCGCAGATCCTCCATCTCTTCTTTGGACAGTCCCTCGTGGAGGGCTCCCAGCACCCTTTCGTCCCGTCGGGTTTGGTGAGGATCCTTTACGGTGAGTTTCCAGGCCGCCCCGGACCATCCCAAATTCTCCCGTTTATGTGACTGAGAAACTGAAGAAGAATCCGTTGAGAAGGGGCTCCAGCCCGGCGAGAGTAGACACACCGGGTTGCGAAGCCCGAGCTGGAACAGGGGCGCGAGCCGCATTTCACGCTTTCAGAGAAGCTGGGCGCTGCGTTTGGACTTTCGGACGACTGAGAGCGAAAGAGTCCGGCGTAGAGGAGGAGCCTCCGAGGCCTTACCCTCTGATACACACTGCACCGCGCGCGTCCCCACTTGGCGGATGAAGAGACTGAGGAGCCCGGGACACGGCGGCTGGGAAGCAGAGGGAAAGCAGACTGGCCTTCCAGCGGCTGCTGGCGACCCGCGCTTCCTCTTTGAGTACAGGCGAGTGTCCGCGCTTCGCTGCCCTAGGTTAGACCGCCACCCAACTGCCAGCCCGCTGACCCCACCCCTGGACACACTGAGCCAGTTAGGCCCGGGGGGAGGAGGAAAAGCGCTCTTCGGGCACCACCCTCCTCTAGATAAGCCTGGAATGTCAAATATTTGTCCGGTGGGCGGGACGCAACAGCGAGGTAAAGCCCCTCCCTCACCCGACCAGGAGCGCGCGCGCCAGGCTGAGTCTTCCTCCCGGCCACGCCCTTGCAGCTAATTGCAATTCACCCCAACAGCACCCCATCCTCTCCTAAAACTTCGCTGGCGTGTATCTCCCCTCGCCAGGCTCCAGTCTGGGCTCTGCTCCTAGACAACAGAGCCCCGGGCCATCAGGACGGCTACCTGATTTAAGCCTCACCTGGTATCCCCATCCTTTCAACCACTAGACCTTCGCGCTAGGTCCTTTTTCATTCATCATTCAGCGCAGGTAGGTCTCCACGTCAGGTTCCCGGGGAAGCCTCCCGCTCGAGGTAACCCCTTGGTACCTCTAGCCGTCCTGAGCGCATTTCCATTGGAGACGCATTCATGAGTGTACAGGTCCTTGCGGAGTAGTAAACCCAAACGTGGGACAGCTCCCCCAGATACCCGCGCACCTGTCTGCCCCCTGCCCCCCACATGATAATTCCTGATGTTAGGACTCTTGAAGAGCTAAATTTGTTAAAACTACGTTAGTCCCCCTGCTTTGCTGAGCTCCCTTACTCATTTTCAGATGGTCCTCCCAGATCACCCCATTAATATTAAACAACCCGCATTCCTGTGCCCCAACCAGCTCTCACGTCTTCTGCCACCACTAAAACAACTCCTAACACGATAAATCGTTTATTGTCTCCCTACCCCACCATCCATCCCCTCCCCATGCCCCACTCTAACCCAGCCCCGTGAGAATATCCTTGAGGAAAGGCTTATCCAAAGTCTATCAACTGGACCTGCTGGGCACGTAGTAGTAACATAGTAAGAATGAATGAATGGTTGACTAAGATCTCTTCCCGTATTCCATCAAAAGTAACCTTCCCTGTGGCCACAGGACCTTTGTACTAGTCTCATTTGTGCCCTTTGCTCTCCTTCCAACCCGCCCTTGCCCTAGTTAACCCCTGCTCTCCCTCCAGATTTTCCCCTCAAGGCACCTCCCACTGTGGTTTGAGATTTTTTGTATTTCACTGATAAATGTCCCCCATCCTCACCCTGCTACTAGCTAATGTTCACAAGTCACAAATGAATGAATCAGAGATAAGATACTCGAGAGATGTCAGCGAGGCTCCAACGGCACAGCCAGATTCCTTTTCCAAACAGTACTTTGGGTATTCAGGAAAAATGAACGTGGTCCGGTGAGCCTGCCCGCAAGCTAGCGGAATCCCATCCTCACTGCAGCTCTTGGAAACCTGCCACTAAGGCAGTGGGCGCTCCAGCTGCAGGTACGTGAAGGTCTGAGCAGATACAGGGTGGGGTTCCTCACCTGGGGAGTGTAGCTTTTCTCGTGGAACTCCAAGACGAGGAATGGTGTAGGAATGGTTTAAAATCACGCTCCTCACTCCCAGGAAATATTCCGTTGTCAGAGGATTTGAGGCTGAGCGCTTGCTTGGGGTCCATCGCGGCGATCCACAGTCGCCAGCCCAGGCCCATCCCCACCCTCAGCGGCCAGCGGCCCCCCAGTTCGGCCAGCTGCGACCCTTTCTTACCTATTCTAGTAAGCCTCCAGAATAGCTAGCGCACTGGGTTCCCTGGGGTTTCCATTTCCATGCATTTGCTCCGCGAATATCCGCTGAGTACCCACCAGAGGGCGCACTGATTCCATCGACGGAACCTGGTGTTGCGGAGTAGGCAGGAGCTGCTGGCATTGGAGACTTCACCCTAGGACAGCCTAGGTGAAAGGAGAAGCCCTTAACATCGCCTCCCAGGTCACTTACCTCCCCCTGAGAATTTTTAGTTCCCAGACCAGGAATCGAAGCTGTACCCCCCTGCAGTGGAAGCATAGAATCTTAACTACCGGGCTGCCAGGGAAGTCTCAATGTGATCTCATTTAATGTTTAATGCCACAGGAATAAGGGCATAAACTGGGACTTAAGTAAGGAGGCTACTAGGGAGATGCGGGTAATCTGGCTTTGGGAGAGTAGAGCTGGGAAAACTTGGTGACTATGTAGTTGTGCGTCTGAAAGTCAAGGAGGTATCTAGAGGTCTGCAGCCCAGGGGATCATGTTAAAAATGGGGGACCCTCACCCTCTGGCCCCTCTCTACAGTGCCTGCACTGGTTTATAACTGACTAGACCTTGGCACCCCCTCCTCCAGTGGTCATGGCTCTATCATCTTCAGGGCCTATGGGAGTGGGCCAGCAGGGAAACCCTCTCAAGCACAGGGCCACTCTCTGAGGGGCCCATAGGCACCTGAGGCTGCTGGGCTGACAAGGCATTTAAACTGTGATAAGAGTCCAAGGCAGGCCAGGCTGTCTTGATCTCCACCCTGTCCCCACTTAACCCTTGGCTCTAGACACCTGCCTATTATGGTCACCCAGAGCGGGTCTGCATCAGATCAGTCCTCAGCAGTCACTCTGCTGGGGTCTGGGATGGAGGTGAGGAAGGGTTTTAGCAGGGGGTCCCTGGGCCAGGGTGTGAGGTGGAAGATAGTTTGACCTTAAGTGAGGAGGATATCCCAACCACAAATGTGTTTCACTAAAAGCACATGGGAGGAGCAGGCCAAGGTGGTGAGTAGATTCATTGAGGGTCACTCCAGGAGGTTAGAAACTATCAGCCACTGACTAAGAGAAAGAAAGGGAGGGAGAGAAGGAGGGAGGAAGGGGCAGTAAGAGATCTCGGAATCAGCCAGGGATGACCAGGGTGTTGACTGGCTCTCAAGAAAGGGATGTGTGAAGGGTCAAGAGCTCCTCTCCAAACATGCTGGTTCTCTATTCCAAAGTAATGCCGGGTCCCAGAATGTTACTGGCTGTCAGACCTTTGCCCACTCTATTTGCTACCCGCCCCCGCCCCCGCGATTCCATGCACAGAGAACCTGTGTCCTTTCTGGATGCCCGGTTTGCGTGGGGTGGCAATGGTGGAGGAACATCAGGGGAACTCGCCTGTGGGCTGGTGCAAGGTTAGGCCCACTCTTAACCCGGCGAACAAACCAGCCAAGCATGGGGGTGAGAGGGTGATTACACACTTCAGAACCAGAAACAGGCGGGCTGAACTCTCAACTGGGAAGCGAAACACGCTGACCTGGCCTTACCCCAGGCAGATGGCAGGGGAGTCCTTGGGTCAGTGTTGCTTGAACTCAGGTGCTCTCGGGGAAGGGTGCCAAGAATCGGTTTGGGAGTTGAACAAAGGTCTTGGTCAGTTTCCTCCGGCTCAAGAACAGCCCGAGGCTCACTTGTCCTCTTCTTCCTCAGGCTTGACCGGGGTAGCTCAGCAGCGGCGAGCTACTGAGCTTTGTACCCTGAATTCCCACTTGGCCCGGTGCATCCTAGATCAGGAAAGCGCCAGGAATCATGGATAAGAACTGCGCACCGTGG